TAGTGCATTATGTCATGTTGACCATTGTTAATGGTCTGGCCCATGTCGAGAAGAAAGCGGCGCGTGCTACTTCGAAGAAATTTAGACGAGTAACATCCGTCAAATTGTCATGCACATGCTGTAGACAGCTGTTGCGCATGAGTGCGCGGCTGTATCGTGGCTTACGCCACGATACTGGATACTCGTTTACTGGGCGGCGCTCAGCCTGTCATTCCGCCGAATCTTTATGTTTATGAACATAATAGCCTGGGGTCCCCAGGTAAGATAGTCGTTTGAGGGTCACGACGTGATACAAATAGTACAAGTGTTGAGTCTCATAAATGATTTCCTAGCCTTCATTGTTCATAAGGGGTCGTCCGCAATCAACCGTAATCAAGACCGAACCCCCCTATATCACAGTGCTGGTAAGCACGACCGGTGCATTTATTGTGGGTTTACTATGTACCCCCTTTACTATTATACCCCCTTTACTATTATACCCCCTTTGGTACACGTTACAAGCCTCTTTCGTGCACGCGAAGCGTGCACTCCGGCCGGAGGCGGCGGCCGAAGGCCGCCGCCTCCGGCAGGAGTTTTTCAGGCATTAAGACTCATCGGAAGTCGTTCAGCAGATTTATTTTTAGTTCAAAACATTCTAATTTGATGTCTGAGATGACAGGAATAAAAAATAGTTATGTTGAGATTTTTAAGAAATTTGCATAAAATACTCGCCAGCACTGTTATACGAAATTCGGTAAAAAACCCAAAATCGCCATATTCAGGTGCCTTAAAAACCATGTTAAAATCGAGTTAGAGATCTGAAATTTTTCAGGGCGTCTAGACGTTCACCAAATCGACTGCAAAAAAAGTTTCAGGTTTCAGGAACATCGGGAAGTGGGTTTTCTAGAACCCCTGTTTTACGACAGATTGTCGTGACATAGATAGATATACATATATATTCAGGGATAGACGCTTTGCCAGTCAATTGTAGCCTGTATTTAATTGTCCATAGATTCAAAAGTATAAAAGATACAGCCATTTCCGACCACAGGTCTTGAAAATAATTGTTTACACTTCAGTTTACATTGTATACAAAAATTATTTGACGTCATGAACACCCCTTAATGACGTCATCAAGTTAGCCGTTTTTAAAACTTGATTTTTGACAAAGTAATAATTTTAAAAAATGATTTTACACCATTAAAAAGTAATTGTATTCAAAATCTGACGAAATTTTCATCTTAGATAATTGTTCAAGCATTCTGAAAATCTACCGGAAAGTTTTTCTAGCTTGCTCCTTCATAAAGATATTCGTCATTGAAGTTTGTGCTTTTTTGAGAAATTATTTTATAAAAAGGTCAATTTTGCGATTTAGTATTCTCTGGTGTTGGGCCATGCCTTGGGTTGTGGAGCTCAGTTCTGCTTCCTATAGGTATAAATTGTGCATTAGGCTAGTTTTAAAGTTGAAAATCAAAAAGTTGCACACGTGGGGACACGCCCAAATTGATAGAAAATCGCTAAAATCACTGAAAATTGCTGTTTTCGTCATTTTCTGTCAACTTTAGAGTGCCGTTGTGATTACAGTTCTTCTTGAAATAGTTTGAAACTTTGCATACTTATCAAACTATATATAAAACAATTACATGCAAAAATTTACGGCGATTCAATATTGGATGCGCACGCAACGTTCGCTCAAAGTTTGCACGTGCGAAAGGTGAGAATTTTGCTCATTCGTGATTTCCAACAAATTCTGCTTTGCCGCGACAGTTTAATGTCATTATATATGAATTTAATGCCAACTTGAATGAGTATTAAGTGGCAAATTCAGTCAATGATCGACCGATATGCTTATTTAAACACAAGGAAATGTTTTTAAAGGAAAAATTTCGAAATCGTTGAAATTTCCTCCTTATTAATGAAGATATCAGTTTATATTTCGACTTTATATAGTACCCTGACATTATAATCAAAAGGAGATGATATTTTACCAAAACCCATAATCATGGGTAGAGTGGACCGCTGCCAGTGTCTCTCTTTCCCAAACAAAAGGAAATGATATTAATTTGATTGACCGTTCTCAAATGCAAAATGATACCGAGAATGAAATCGGTCGCTCGCTTTTCCCATTCATTTACAATTGTAATAGATTAAGAAGAACTACCCAAAGGCAGCTGTACTCGGCAATAAAGATTCAATAAACTTCAGCTAATTCAATATAATAAGTAATAACTACCACCCTTACCCCGAAATACTAGGTATCGACCCGAATGCAACCCAAAGAGATTTTTACAGCATCTGATTGATGTAATCAATCGAAACTTATTACAATTCGTGAGGATTACATTTTGGAGACCAGAAATTTTGTTTATAATCTATTTCGTGAAAGATTTCCTAAAAGTAAGCTATGACTTAGTATCCTTATTTCGTGCACACTTTCAAACCTTTTAATTATTTATTTAAGATATTATGTTCTTTTTATTGTTTGGTTGAATAACTTTCATTTAACTGATTGGGATCTGACACATGTAATTTTGTAATGATCTTTCTAATTTCTAATTCTAATTCTAATTCTAATTTCTAATTTCTAATTCTAAGCCGTGACTGAATGGGAAAAGCGAGCGACCGATTTCATTCTCGGTATCATTTTGCATTTGAGAACGGTCAATCAAATTAATATCATTTCCTTTTGTTTGGGAAAGAGAGACACTGGCAGCGGTCCACTCTACCCATGATTATGGGTTTTGGTAAAATTACGTAATCAAGGTTTGACCCCCCCCCCCCCCCGTAATCAAGACCCAACCCCCCTCCTATATTCAATATTACGTAATCAAGATTAGACACACCCCCCCCATCGCAAAGGGCTCTTACTAAATCGCTCGCCCAAAAATTTCACGTGACTTTGGTTTTTTTGGTTTTGCAGCCGTACAAAACGGTTTTACATAAACCCTAATCCCAACCCTAACCCTAACCATAACCCCGAAGCTATCCATAATCTTAACCACAACCCTAACCTTAACCCGAGCCCTAAATAATCGAATTCACGTTTTACTAGCCTGTCACGTGACCAAAACAGTTTTTTGCCCATAACTCTCCAGGGAAGCATTTTAACCCTACGTCATGGGGGGGGGGGGGGGGGGGGGGGGGGGGGGGGGTGATTCGGAATCAGCGTCCAAAAATACACCGATCTAGATCACTATCATGCCTAAAGGGCCTTTTCACAAGAATTTTAGTAGGAGCGATCGCAAAGCACTTATTAAACGAAAATTGGTTTAAAAAACGAAAATTTTGATTACATAATTAACGAAAATTGTCCAATTGGTATTTCGAAAATCGGTACAAAATTAAAATTTTGATTACGTAATCAACGACCAAAACCCCCCCCCCCCCCCCGTAATCAAGACCCAACCCCCCTCCTATATTACGTAATCAAGATTAGACGGCGTAATCAAGATAACGGCCAGGTAGCGCAGTTGGTTAGAACGCCTGTCTTACAATCGTTAGGTTGCGAGTTCGAAACCCACTGATTGCCTGGTCGTGGGGTGAGCGTCGTCGACGTTCAGCTAAGGATCATGAGTGGTCTATGCAGCCCCCCGGTCTACTCAGCCGAATACTCGAGAAATCGGGTGTGAGGGTTAAATGAGGAGCTGCACATTGCAGCAAAGTCTCGGACGAAGAAAGTATGGTACACACTACCTTAACCGTCACTGGCCGAAAAGACCCTTCGGCTTCCTGTAATTGGCTGGTTGCACTTGTGTAACATTGTGGCTGTTGGAATACACCGAAGTAAAATAAGTGTCTAGATAAATAAAAAAAAGACACACCCCCCCCCCCCCCCCCATCGCAAAGCACTTATTAAACGGAAATTGGTTTAAAAAACGAAAATTTTGATTACATAATTAACGAAAATTGTCCAATTGGTATTTCGAAAATCGGTAAAAAATTAAAATGTTGATTACGTAATCAACGACCAAACCCCCCCCCCCCCCCCCCCCGTAATCAACCGTAAGCATTTGAAACCCCCCCTCGGCTGATTACGTAATATGTGATCGACCCCTAAATCATGATGCATGATGTGCAGTTGCATTGCCTCATTGTAGATATTATTTTGTTTTGTAGTTGTATTGTGCAAATGTAATTGTAAGATCAAATATATTTGATATTGATGTAAAATTTATTTGTATTTTGAAACAATAATAAGTTATTGACAGCCTGTGGTTGTACTTGTATGTTGTACTGCTACTTTGAGTCGTTATTTTTGCTTCCTACATTGTATAATATGTATATCAGATATATAATACAGTAAATGAGCAAAAACTAAAACATTGATTTACCGGCGCGGCCTTTACCTATGGCTATATTTATAACCTTTCTCCCATGATACAATTACAAATTACTCCGCAGTAAATTGGGCTTTTACCAATTACTTTATCTGGTACTGGTAGTAGCACTGCCACTAGTAGTAGCCTGCAAAGTTTGACTTTTATTACACGAACGGTGCGTCTCAGTTTTCTCTTATCGGAAATTTGATGCCATTACCATGCTAATGTCAGGCAAAAGTTAATATTTACCTTTTGCATTTTCAAAAGCTGAACATTGATGATGTAATACTATGTCATTCTCTAACGTATACTTAGTCATGAGAGTCGGCAGCATTTTAGTTTGTTTCATTTTTTGTTTTACTTTAAAATTTATTATTATGATTTTACTGGATTAGAGAATCTACAAGTACAATTCCCAACTTGTATAGTCCAATCATGTTATTCTGGAATCGTCTTTTGATCGCCTTTTCAACCACCTTTCAATCGCAACCGATGTAGACAATGACATAATGAAGACAATGACATATCCGATATCTTTAGATCACAACAAATTTTCCTGCTGTGTTTCAATAACTTGTTCTATGAATATAAATGTGCTGAAAGAATGGCATATTATGCAAAGTATTCATATCCTGCAACAGTACGCTGAGAAAATAGCACAAGTTTATGATCAAATTCAATGATGAGTCGCGTTGTGTAAATTTTGAGCGTATTATTTATGATTATCTAGTTTTTCCTTGTGTACTCAAAATGTACCCAAATCAGGCGGTGTGCACCATGTACAGCTTGTTCGTCTTGCTTGTGCTAGGAGTATTGCTGGTACAGAAAACTGACTGTGATACGGTGACGTCGCTAGGGGAGGCATTCAACATTGGAACGGTTAGTCTGCCAATCATTTTGCATATTTAATATAATCTGCCTTTTTGTTATTTCCGTTTGAATTTTGATGTCCCCTCCCCCTCCAACCGCCACTTTGCACATAAAGCTTTTAACCGTTTTATATGCCAGCGTAACACGTCCCCTCCCCCATAAGCTGCTTACAATCTCTAGACTCTAGTACAGGATTTTGTGTCATAATATTTTGCTACTCAGCGACCTGTTTCCCCGGCCGGTCGAATGTAATTCATTTGTACAGCTCGTGTTACCTGTACATGCCTGAGCTGCTTATCTCTGGCAAAATCTGAAACTCATTACACGACTCAGTCTGCATAACTCTGTACACTAAGAGTAAGAACTTACTCGAAATTCAAAAAGTAAGACCTAATTATATTTATAATGCTAGACTACCCAAAATTATGTCCGTTCACATGGAAATGTCCGCCAAAATTGAAAATAAGATCCGATAATATATATATAATATATATATATTTGAGACATTCAGTGAAACAGTAAAACACGAAATTCACATTGAGCTATCGATTGTGTAATCTTTACATGTCTCATTCTGAAAGCAAGTTTATTAAAATAACTGTTCTATGAAGTAAATTAAAAACATGACAAAAATAGATCAATACTGAGATGGGAAATTTGTGAGTAAGTCTCATTCAATCATAAGATATAAACAAAAGATGCAGAGGTGAAAGTAAACATCAAAATGCAAGTGTCTGTGGAAAGATTAATATTAAAGCATATCATATAAAGGTCAATTTTTTATTTCATTAAGAGCACTACGTTTATTAAGTCCTCCAAAATCACTGAGGGTCATAAGCTGGTTTTGCCAAAATGATTCTCTTTCTTTAGCAACCCTACTTCTATCTTCTAAGATTAAACATTTTATAAAATCTAGCTTTTCAAAAATAATAACCTCTATCTGATCGGATAACTCATTGTCAAACGTTTTTAAGGGCTCTTTGGTAAGATTATGGAACTGGTTATCGTTAAAATGACAAGAAATTTCACAACTCCTAACCGCTTTCCTAATATGTGATTTGTGGTTCTGCCATCTGGTCTTAAAATTGTTAACTGTGCTTCCTACTGAAGCACGTCTGCAGACTTTATCCCTTACTAGATAGCACACCCCTACTGTGTTGCAGTCTAGTTGTCCAATGATGTTAACAGTGTACCCCGAGTGGTAGCTCTGAGCTGTTTTTGATTCACAAATATACATTCTACAGGCTTTACATCTGGAGTTACAATGATAACATCCCCCCTCTTCTATACTAGTAGGCAGAGCCACATTTTCAGTGTTAGAGTTTAAAGCTATAACATTACTATCTTCATGATACTTACGATCTTCTGAAAGTTTACTCGGAACTAAAGTTTCTTTGATAGTTTTATTACCACGATATGAAACAAATACTTTACTAGGCTGGATCACAGACTTTAAAAGAGGGTCTAGGCCAAGGATAAATTTATTCTTGTTAACTATTTTACCAATTGGAGGTAAGTTAGGGTCAAAATCACAAACTAAAGGAAAACATCTTTCACTCTTCTTAATATTAGAGCTTGTAAGGTTTTTTGAAATCAGATCATCCCGTTTAAGTAACTCAACTTTCTCAAAGGATTTATGGATAAGATCTTTATTGTAATTCCTATCGTCTAGATATTCACTAAATTCAATTTTACATTTCAAATACTCTTCTTCCTCTGAACAGTTTTTGAACACTCGATGTGCTACTCCATATGGAATATTCTCTGCTATGTGTGTAGGGTGGCAGGATTGTGGGAGTAAATAGCTATGGGCATCACTAGGTTTGCAGTACGTCCTAGTTTCTAGCTTGCAATTTTTCGAGTAAATAAACAGGTCTAGAAATTCAGTCCCCTCTGTAGAAGGTGTCGACATTGTAAACTTGAGGTTTGGATGGTATTGATTGAGCCAAAGTAGGAACTGGTCTAGCTTCTCCAGTGACTCAGTCCAGGTGATGTATATATATATTATAATTATATATACAAGGTATGATTATAATTATATGATCCTTATCACCAGATAGAATTAGACGGGGTTGTAACTGGAGGGAAAAGCGTGTTCACCAACCTGGCCCCCTCTTGTTTCCATAAGGAAGAACTGAAAGAGACCACTAAAAACTACAAAGTCTACACCGATCACCAAGAGTTTGTTCACGTAAGAATTTGCAACAAATTTTATTTTGGACGGCCGTAATTTATAAAAAACGCAAAGAATTTCTCAATTATTAGTCATTACCACCCAAAATCATGCAGTCGTAAGACGTACGCCGAGGGTTTAAAGTACATTTCACTCTTTTATTTTACACTGATATTAATGTTTATAAACCAACTGTTTGTTAGTAATAGTAACGATATACACAGGAGATAGCATTGAGCGTAGGGCTGACATCTAAAGAACTCGGAGGTAAAGGAGATATTAGCACCAAGTACCTGAAGTCAAGAAGTACAGAGACTTCTGGAACCGTGGTCGAGGTTTGTTTTTATTATTAATGTATTAGTATACAGGATTAAACAGGATTAAACAGGATTAAACAGGATTATCATATGCATATGTGTCTTAATCATATATCTGATCGGTAGATTACTAATTCGGTTGAAATGTTTTGACTATGATAAGGCTGAATCAACATACAGCTGAGTCAAATGTTCATAGAATTTTTATTGGAGTTGTGGTTGCTTAAGGTCATTGTTTTGACCATAACGTGTTGATAATTAACTGTACCAGGTGATATATTTGAGAGAAAGAGAAACAATATCGGACGAATGCCTCGAGGAGTCCACATTTGATTCCCAAATCAAACATGACCTTAACAAGCTACCTTACCCGATCAGGAAACCTCACCAGCGAGCACGATGGCTGCCTTATGATGCGTTCATCCACAAGTTAGTTCTTTTAATAAACTTCTATTGGTTATAGGTTAAAGCATTTAAATGATATTTACTGGTATCCTCTTTAAAGCTGATCCATTGCAACATTCATATCGACCGTTAGCGAATTGATCTGATATAGGCTAACCATAGGTGGGGAAGTCATATTCTTAAATCAACTGATTCTGGAGCAAAAGCTATCTTTCATACAACCAAAACCAAGGAATCGACAACGGACAAAATGGAATTGAAAATTAAGGTAGGAAAACAAATTTGAAAAATTGCAATAGTTATACAGATACCTAAATTGTAAATTAAGTGATACATTATTTTATCAATATTGGCAGTTGAAGTATGCAGTAGTATTATTAATTTCTAATTTGGGATCCCAATTGACTGTTTGCAATAGTATAACTAAGTAATCCTGTCTTGTGCTATTAACAGTATATAACAGTTAACACTAAACTCACTAATGTCGCTGTAGAGAAATCAGCCAAAACTGCGAAATTGCGGTCCAGGAAAGCATTTTGGTGATGTTCAAAGTTTTGTCTTTGGTAATTCAGCTTCTGATCTTACAATTAAACAGTGTTTTATATTGATACTTGAAAAGTTGAAAGTAGGATCAAACTTTAGCTTTATATTTGCAGCTGTGTGCCAAGTTTCCTGAGCTAGCTTTAGATGGTTGTGTGGATACAGGGCCCAAGACATCTACCAAAAAAGAGACCTCAGATGAATCAGACGAAGTGTTTGTGATAGGTAATCTAATACAAAGATCTCACTTATCGGATATATATATTTTTGGGTATGTTTTAAATGTCGAACCATATTTTTAGATAAAAGTGAAACAAAAGGATATGTCCGGATACCATACTATTACTAATAAAAACATAACCAAACCAGGAGGATCGATACCAACCCAAGACAAGTTGAGAGCAGGGCAGTTCACTCCGGAGGTATTGGATTTGTTGGCAGCAGAGGCAGCTGAGCACCAGGCCCCGATAAAGCACCAGTGGTTTAGCTTACCTGAGGTGAGAGTTATATAATACTATTCCGGTTTAATTTACTTGTAAAACTCAAACATTCCAATTATAATAAAAACAAGAAAAGGAGCTTCAACGCTTTGTTCCCAATCACGTCAAATTTCAAATTAGAGTCAATTCAGAGTTCGATTTTCGAATCCAAAACCAGAATCCGAATCCAAAACCAAACCAAAACCCCTGGCCTAGTGGCTAGTGGCAATAATCATAACCCGATCTACAACAGCTGCTGCTGAACCGAGCTATGTTTGACGCGGAGGATGGGGAGATCCAGCGAGCCACCGCTCTGCTGTCTTACTACAAGGGATACCACGTGTTTGGGTGTGACCACCACGTGGTAGAGAAACAGAACCACACCGTCTTCGTTAACGAGGGGGACGACGAATTCCCCATTTACAAGTGCTTACAGGTTCCGTATCTTGCCAATATATTCTTATTTTTTATGTATAGTACGGCAGTCACCTCATTCACCACTTAATTAAACATCTAACCACGTATTAAGACTCGTTTATGTAACTGTTCAAATGTTTTTCAACATCACTCTTTTTAGCTGAGACCCGGGTGTATGAGTGATACTGACTGTATAAACTGGCCTGTCAAATACATGGGACCGTGTTATTGTGCTGGTAAAAGCTGCATGGCTATCAAAAAGGAGGGAAAACAGGGCACACAATCAGCGGTATTTTAAGAATTATTTAATTTATCAATAATAGTTAATAATAATTAGTAATAATAACTATTGATTATTTTCATTTGCACGGCCGGTATAACCGAACTGGTTATCTAAATAAGAACACGTGGTGTTATACCGTGTACTGTGCCTCCTACTACCCGCTTCTATCAAACAGGAACTGATAAGAAGGTCCAGCCCAGTGGGGAAGTTCCACGACCCAATTAACTCGCTGTGTAATTGGAGCGGTCAAGGAGGCTGTTCCTGCGATAGAGGAGAATTGGAGGAAGTGTGGCCCCTGGGGTCCATCCTTCTCAGGAGCACGAGAGTTGAGAAACCTGTTAATTGGCTCCTCGTGTTGTTTGTAGTAGGGATTGTGGTGATGTTAGCTGGGTTCGGGTTCTGGGTTAAGAAGAGATCGGACAAATCTAAAGCTAAACCTGAATGATACTGAGTTATTCTTTTTAACAGTTGTTGTAAGACGAGGAGTTAAACGAAGTAATTTCTTGATGCTTTCTGTTTTATTTTGAATTTGTGAAGTTAAATTTTGATAATTATGTCTGATTTTTTATTTTTGTAACATTTTGATAATATTGATTGTGTTTTAAGTTTATTTTGCAGCAGAAATCGATGTTGTTCATTTTAATATCATCAAGGTAAACACAAATATCACTGAAATTATAATATCTTATCATCAAAACCAAAAATAAATAAGTACAAAGTTATCATTAAAAAAGACAAAATTCTTGATCATCAAAACAAAACTGCCGAGCTGGCAGCCCAAGATGGAGCACCGAACTGGACGCAGATTCCGGCGACAGGAGCCCACAATAATAAATGTACAAGGGCGCTAGATAAATCTTAGCCTGCAGCGGGGAAAATTCACTTCCAGTGATCAAACGATATCAAAGTATTGGTTAACAGACCCAATTTTAACGATAGAACTGAAGAAAATTAATTAAATAGATAAGCAAAAGATTGGTTTATTGAGAACTGAAAAACTTTTGAATTCAGCAGATGAAATTATTTAGTCGTACTTAAAGTTTAAAACTAGATTCTGTGCTAGATCAAATTAATGACTCAAATCATAAACGTAATGGCAGTGCTAAAAAGCATATGATAACAATTACCATTGGTCTAAATCCCTTTAGATATGAAAGTAAACATAGTCACTTCTGTGGACAGCACGTGTCGTTCTTCGTCTTTATAATAAGTAAACAGATTAAGTTGGTATTGCGAAAATTATAAAAACTATTTCGGTCAGTTTAAATCATATTATTTGGTTTTCTTTTACCGTTTCTTAAAATAAATTGCTCCCTAAACAATCAATATTATACAGATTGTCCAAAAGGGACAAAACTAAAGAAGAAAAAAAAGGTCCACTAAGACGTTATTTACAGTTTTATAGCTTCAGAAAGAAATACGATATAAATGGGGCTATACATACGTCAATACCACAGTCTGTCGCTTCAGTCATAAAAATTGACCTTTATTTTCTGTTCTCTGACGGGGACCTACATTCCACATTACCGAGGAATGTGCTGGTCCCTCGCTTACTGTTTTTGTAGTCATCCAATCTGGCTAGGCTTGATCAAACACACCAGAGATCCATCAGTCCGCGCGCTACATCAGTTCGATCTACGCGTGCTACATCGACTGTTAGCTATCCTAACAACCATATTCAAAACGTCTTCACATCACGTGTTGTCCTCTATCCGGGCACATGAGTTAAAACTCTCCTATTAGTTTTTAATAATACAATTCACACGTTATACACATGTCACGTGACATTGGAACGCTACATATTATATGTGATGTAGATCGGGTCCAGACTGTCCGCTAAGAAGCCGTCTCTAAGGTGCATGCGCTGTTTCTCTCCTCTGGAGTTGATGGGAAGGGTTCCCGGATCAACCACTACCACCACACCGACCACTAAGTGGTGCTCTTCAGCTACACTTGATGTCACCAGGGGTATCACGTTCATTGCCTCTGATTCGGGGCCTGAATATTCGACTACTGCTACTAGCAGCTGCTGCCATGTGAAGACGGCGCTGAAATTAAGAATGTTAATCAGGGAAATATATTTAACTTCATGTTTACGTCAGCGAATATCTCAATTATCAATTATATAAACCATGTATTACTGCGGTGTTACAGTTATCTAAGAACCAACCTGTTAGTTATCCGCTGAGTGCACCTTGATATGGTACTCTCTATATCTATAGGATAGTATCTCATTCCTCTGAGATGGAGAGTCTCGTCTATCAGTCCCAGCACGTACACTTCCGCGTTCTGCGCCGTGCCTGAAATGGGGGTCAGGTCAGGATTTGGTTCGTCCGGTTAAGATAGTAATAGTTCAAATTCATAAAGGAGAATAATATGACGAATATTTAATTAGCAATCGCTAATTGGTATTCATTATGATTAATACTAATTCTTTTCAACTTTTTATGAATTTGATTGATAGTAGTCGAGAACACCATTATAAACAATATTTTTCTCGGTAGCAACTTTGTTCATAATTCTAATTCTATGTAATGAAACCGTTTGATACCTACCCGGAACGACCAAGCAACAAAATCAAGAACTATTTGCCGGCTAGACGATTTAGATTTTAACCATTTAAATCAATCTTTTGTAGTATTTTAAATCTTGATTTGATTCATTTGGTATTATTTTATTTTATTTTTATTTGTTTAAATTGTTGACCATCGTTCGAATAGCATTAAATTGGTATTTATGTCCTGATGTGCTTCGCCTATAGTTCACCCGATGTACATACTACATAGTTCTCGATAATTATAGACAGTTTTGAGAATGAAATCTAAACGGGTAGATACTGATAGTGAATAAAAACGAAGCAGCAACTAAATATCATGGTCGCAAAATAACAAATAACTATTTCCTATACAGCGGTCTATATAAATCTACAAATAACAAATCAAATCATGATAGGCATATTCAATACTGTTTCAAGTTATAAGACATACACAATTCTTCGCATAAGAAAATCCCGGAAAGAATTGGCAAAAGACAGAACCTTTATACGCTATGAACATAAGAAAACATTAGCTTAACGGCGGGCAGAAGGCAAATCCCTAGCCCAGTACACAAGCCTTAACATCTCGTACTCGTAGAATTAGCATCAGATTTCATCTTTCTCTGAGCCAAATGAAGATTGCTCCTCTTAACGTGTCCCACATCACAACAATTCCCCTTAACCTGGTGCAACTCTGCAGTGCTTCTCATTGTATCGTACACATGACTACCCTTACTCATTCTCATCATGTCGGTCCTCTGGTGATGTGACGTCACAAACCTCCTTATTCCCTCTACACAGTACTTCCTAACATTAGGCATCCTCCAGAAGTAAAGAACAGGATTTATAGCAGAGTTAGCTGCTAGAAGTAGGGTTGAAGTTGCTGTTTCGTAGTAAAACTGCGTGTCAAACGCGAAGAAATCGTAATGATCGACTCCATCCGTGAATTTAGAGTAGGTTCCTAGGATACAGCTGACGACGAGAGGAACGTTACAAACACCGTACAGCAAGGCAAACAGAAGGATGGTTCTTGTGGCTCTGTTTTTAGACTGTTGCTGCTCAGATTGCAGCCTTCACCCCGTATTCTGGTGAGCATGAGAGCGGAGAGGATGCAGCTTGTTGCTACCACGAATGTTGGGATCACAAACGTTATTATTTGGCTGATTTCCAGCAGGAGGAAGACGGCGCCGTTAAATGATTCCGACACAAACATGGCACAGCTGGCTATCTCAGTGTAGAACCTGTAGTGGACCCCCATGAAACTGAGCCCGGCCCACTGACCCACCTGTACCAGTAGATACACCACAACTACCATCACCAGATACCTTATCTTCTGTGTGGCAAAGGGGAGCATCAGAGAGTAAGTCCTGGTGACACACAGACACACCACAAAGAAAATACTAGATCTAACAGCCACACCCCAGAGGAAGACCCAGCCAGAGCAAGTGTACTCACTCCGGAAGAGAGGTCCATCTGATCGGTACGAGAGGTAGGATATGCCCACCGGCAGCACCATCAAACTGATCACAGTGTCTGTCACTGTCACCATCATGTAAACTGTGCTGGAAATGTCCCGTTTTTTGGACCAGAAGTAGAGGAAACTTGCTATGTTGCCTGATGTCCCAATGATAAAGCAGACAAGACAGATTATACCGTAGGTGATGTCCAGAACGAGGTTGAAGTGCATTGGGATCATTGCAGGAGAGCTGATTGGTTCTGAGGTTTCCATCCTGGCCAATGTCTCTGAGTTGATAATTTGATTCAACTAAAACGTTAAACAATTTTGAGGATGCCAAAGGATCAAAAACAGATTAATGTACTATGTATGTAAAAATTGAGTCCTTTCTGGTCCACTCTGCTTATAAAAACGGATGACAAATTCTAGCCAAATACGCTTATAAATTCAAATATTTATAACACGCTACGACAAAAAAAACATACACAAAAAAATATGTTCAAGCCATTCAAGCGTTACTTAAAAGATTAAATTGTAAATCATCCAATAATATTAAATCCGCTACCAAATGATAGCGAGATCTTAATTAAATTCAAATTAGAAAAATATTTTACCAATCCAACTTAAATGGAGGCTAATAAACAAACGTTATTTGGTCGAGCCAAGTTAATTCTGTGTCGAACAATTTTCGACATTCCCAGAATTTCAAAGCTCTTAACAATAGAAATAACACAATGCAGCATCCAAAATGTCAGACTGGCAACGATAACATTGTTCAGACGGAATGCTGTGTAAAAAAGACGAGCGAATACAAAGAACACTTGCACGCACATTGGCGACTAAAAAACGTGGTTCACGATATTATATTTTGTCTCATGCTTCCCTTCTGACTGAAAACTTAAAACCCAACCCTAAACCAAATCCAAGCTCTTATCCTAGATTTAACCAGAACTCTGTTAGTCTCAATTTTCCAAAAGATCACTCTATTGGAAACCCTAGCACAGAAAACGTTCCAGGGATCTAACAAGGAGCTGAGTCTCGATGATGATCTGATATGTATATTAAGGACGTTGAGACCGGAAGAATACAAAGAGGACTCATGATTATTCGCATCGGAAGAAGGGCTACGGACCACAAAAAAGATGAATAAATTCAACCTTGAAGATCTGTTTAACACTCTGACTAATCCTCTTGGATGAGGATCTCGAGGTGTATGTAAACTCAACAGGGCGAACCCCTGAAACACTAACCCTTATCCTTAACTCTTACTTTAACAGAAGCTTACAAAGTAAACTTCGCCGCATACTATTTTGCCGTAGTAGGTATGGTGAGAGTGCCCTTTAATCGTGTGCAGATAAATAACAAAGGGGCACAAAGGGGATTGACGAATAACCAATCCTCTATATTTAACCACATAATTGCAACCACAAAAGATAACCGTCGCGTCGAATTAAATCCTCGAGGTATAAGTCCATACGCAAAATTAAACCCCCGAAAGTTGTCACGCCTAGATAAACAGAGCGGCGGTCCAATCTTTTAGTTGCATAGTCTACTGACCAAACGTAAACGTCAGTAAAGTTACAAAAGGTTACCTAGTAATATGTTGAAAGTTAAATATTTCTTCTAGCAACTGCTTTGTTGAATGGAATTATACATATAATATGCGGCTAATAAACAACTTGTCTAGTTATTCAAAATGTAAAGAACCGTTTACTGAGCCCAACATAAACTAATCGATGGTCCAGCATCGAGCAAAAGGAGGTTCATATTTAGCAGATTTTGTAGCATTAAAACATTTCACTAGTCAGTAGTATCTATTTCTAAGACGTAGTACGTGAATAAATTTATCTGGTTTATCCGTTTAAACTTAGCATAGACATTTAACGGACAACTTGGTTCATCTCTAAAATATAAGTAACTACAAAGCACTGGCACAAACCACTAATGTGGCAAGTTCTGCAAACAGAACAATACAGATAGCAATTACAGAGTGGTATTGGTAACAAGCCTGTAGCGCAGGTAGACATTGTTAATTCATGAATAAACATGTGCAAAGTGAGCCGATCTGGCGCAGAACAAGTTAACCTCTGTTAGTATGTGAGATTTAGTAAGAGTAACTCCCCAACATTCCTCAAATTAAAGGAATAGGCAGGTCGTTACTTTAAAAAACATGTTTTAAATACTTATCGGCGTCTCCAAATGCTCAAATAATTCCATTAGTAAGTAAAACTAAAACAAAAAAGCTTTCAGCTTAAAAACGAGCCTCTAACATTACATGAACTGACGATTATGCGAGTTTAGCATCGCACAAACGCAGCTGTGAGGAAAATACCATTGTTATGTTACAACATTTATAATCACATTTAAAGATAGTTACTAAGAGTTCAAGTTGAGCTCATATCAGAGCAAGTCGCAGCAGAAGTCGGTAATCCCGCTAATTGTAATTACGTGGCCCTTAAATCCGGCTCTTGACGGCAATTAGGCGCCGCAAAATACAGGGTTGACGGTCATTTAGAGTTGGGTTGTTCCAGTTTGACCTGTCACAGACCGAGCTGGAAAGAAATTTACATTTCTGAGGAAAACGTGGACATGACTGAGCACGCAGCAAAATCACCAAGCTGAAACCATGACTGGTTTCAAGAAATCCGTCAATCGAACTAGGATTGACCGAGGCTAGGATTGACCGAGGCTGTCCATGTCGGAGGCAATTATTCCGCCGAGGCCTCATGCGAATTAGCTTTCCTGGGTTCTGACCGGAGAAAGATCACCATTCCTTGGCCGAAGTCGAAAAAGTTCACTGAGTTTTGAATGTATATTATGAATGTATAGATTATGATTTTAGCTGATTCAGATACTAATTAATAATATAATGTATTGGTTTTGTATATTAGAGCTTTAGCCACAGGTAGGTTGGTCTGCACGGAGCCCCACAGTTTCAATTCCTTGTTTAACTAGCCGTACAGCAAGGATATCCACTGTGCTCACCAGGTTAGGCACATAACCAACACTACCCTGCTAAAGTTAGCTATATACTATGGTTTTCTCGAAAGTATTTCCTTGTATTTGACTTTCGTCAAGAAAGTACTCTTACTTTCGGTTCAGATGTTATATAAGCTAGCCTTTATGTGGTAATATTATGTACTCCAGGCTAGGGAACCTCTTGGAGCAAACCCAAACAGATACAGCCGGTGATACTGAAGATATCCACAAGGATTTGCGACTACGGTCTAGAAGGCATCCGCAAGACTACAGTCATCCCCTGTTCGATGAAATCAAAACAAGATTGACGGGATTCGTCACAAACCCAAATCCTGACGAACCACATTCAAACCTTACTGATGCCGAACAGAGAGGAAAGGGCTGGGTCTTGAAATCAATAGAGGATCAAAGTATATTCGTCACGAGTGCGGACAAAGGTGGAGCTACGCTGCTTTTGGACTATAGGACCGTGATGGATACAGTTAAATCTGAACTGGAGAAGGAGACAAAATTTACAAAATTGGAGATAAGTGTAGGAGTGAAAATGGAGCAGACTCAATTGAAAGTGAAGGAAGCAGTCCTCAAACATCATCATCTGAACATCATCTCTGAGGAGGTAAAGAAGCGAATCACAGGTATAAATGACAAGGGGAACATGGTCCACGCACCTGAAATCCGCCCTGAAATACCATATGCGTACCCTTTATACAAGGTTCACAAACTATCTCAAGAACAAATCGAGGCAAAGACTATACCACCTGTCAGATTAGTTCACGCAACTAAAGGAGGGCCCCTTTATCGTTTAGAGAAGTTTGTGAGCCCGTACGTCACTCAGATCAGCAGAAAATACTGTGAGGAGGAGTTCATCTTGGATACCCCAGACATTATTTCTCAGATCAACAGCTACAACAAGGAGACGCTAAAGGGCGCTTCTAGAAACTTGCAGCTCTTTACTCTAGACGTGGCAGCATTATATCCTAGCATCAGGCCTGAACTAGCGCTTACTGCTCTTGAGGATGCCCTCAATAGTGATACCAACTTCTCACAAGAGCTAAAAGCGGCTTTGCATGAGTTCACTGACCTGATTTTCCGGGAGTCCTTTGTCACTTATCAGGGAGAGGGATACATTAACAAGGAGGGTATCCCGACGGGAAATTGTATCTCAAGACAAGTGGCAGATGTGACGATGCATTGGCTATTGTTTAAACAGATCAAAGGAAAGATGAAAAACTGGAGTTTGGTAGACCTCTGGAGGAGATTTATTGATGATGTACTTGGGGTGTGGTTAGGAACAGTCCGACAGTTCAATCTATTCGTGGAGCAACTGAACAAACTGGCAGAACCATTTGGAATCAGATTTGCTGACCAACAAATCGGTAAAACTGTTAATTTCCTTGACATCACTCTAACCTTGGATACTTACAACCAGATCCAATATAGACTCTACAGAAAGGAGACAGATGCTAGGAATTACTTGCGAACGGATAGCTTTCATCCTCACCATGTATTCGAATCTGTGGCGTTTTCCCAGATGATACGAATCATAGAAAGGAACTCGCAAGACTCAACCTGTGTAGAAGACTTAATGGAGCTGAAAGCAGATTTATCTAAAAGCGGACATAACAGCGTTAAGTTAGAGGAGATCGAGCCGAGAGCAGTTGTCAGAGTACTGGAGAACACCCACGGAGCCAACAGGTCTAAGGAGAGTGAGAACGCTGATAACTTAGTCTTTTCAGTACAACACTCTTCGGACAACATTCAGCTGAAGAAGTTGATTCACGAACTTGGACCGGACATCAGGAGGATATGTGGAGATATACGTGTGATATTTGCCACACGAAAACATCCTTCAATCGGAAACAGGGTAGTGAAGAATCGACAACTTGGAAATAAGGCTGAATGTCCCCAAAAAACATCACAGAAGTGCTCAGCCCCTGGATGCAAGACTTGCCCGGTATTGTTCGATCTTGACTCTAAGATCATGGTCAACGGCATGGAGCTTAATCTAGACGAATCCCTCACGTGCAAAGATAAGCACATTATTTACGTTGCACAATGCCAGCAGTGTAGGGCTATTGAGGGATCTGAGGACACTTACTTTGGGCAGACGTTGACTCCATTCCACATTAGGCTCAATGGGCACCGGAACAAGTTCAACATTGACGACCGTGCCCTCTACGAGCACTCAGCCTTATCAATGCATTGTTACGATGTACACAAGGACACTTTCAGTTTTGACTGTTTCAAATTCGGGATTGTGAAAAAGACTAAACCTTCCCTATTAGATAGGGAAGAGGCTAGATTTTGTGCAAAGTTTAGAACTAATGTTTGGGGTTTAAATAGGATGGAAATTAAAAGGTAGTTTTTTTGTGGTTTTTACCAATATCTGTAATTAATTAATTTTAACAATTTTGTGCCAATTTTGCGTCATTTTTCTTTATAAATTTTATCTACCACGCTATCAGTGAAACAATTTTATCGTATTCCAATTTCTGATCGACTTTCATGATATTCTCTAATCATGACCTTTTTATAAATTTTTGAATCTCTTTGACTGAGTATTATGATTGATTTTATCTGACTAATTTATTTCTTTTTTGTAGGCTCTAGCGATGTAATAAACGAAGTTTCCAAGCCAAATTTGTGTGTTTCCCTTCGTGTCCAAAATCAATCATAATATTATGTAATATTAATTCAAGCGTGTTTAATATACCCAATCTAATTATGTGCATGCTAATTATATTTGAAGTTAAGTCATTAACCTAACAAGTTTTCTCAGACCAAAATAAGGTGGAGGCCCGATATCAAGTGAGACGTGTAATACTGAGCTGAGATCCGAGTAATTGCTACTTTGGAGACGTGTAATACTGAGCTGAAATCCGAGTAATTGCTACTTTGGAGACGTGTAATACTGAGCTGAAATCCGAGTAATTGCTACTTTGGAGATCGTCACAGACTCAGACAATATGACATCCCAGACTCTGATAGTAATATGAAATGAAATGAAAAACAGTATTTATACCCCGCCCTTATCCCATGTGCTTTCTTAGAAACTTAAAAGTAAAATAATATAAAAACAAATTTAAGTTACAATATACGGCTATAAAAGCTTGATCTTGTCATAAGTAATCTAACAAAAGAGAAAATGGTCGGCTATATAAACTATTTTCACAACTACAATTAAACTTGTTTATTGAGGATGTTACAGAAGGAATTGATTTAATGTAATCCTTTTCGCGTTCTGTGATGGCGTTTCTCTTGTCTCATATATTGAGTTTTAAAATTGTAAACTAAATAACAAACAAAAACAACAGTAAACATTGTTTCCACCCATCTACTTTCCAGCCATCCGCTCAAGGATGTAGAGTGCAGTGTAGACACTAGACATAGAGGAATTACCATGACAGGATCAAATAGCATCTAGGCATGAACTGTAATTACAACTTCGTATCCGGTAATTAGCATAGCATGATGCCTGTTAATTATTATACTTTCATCACTAATTAATATTATTTTAGTAAACTCTGCCGGCAGATGTTGCTATTAAACTGTTCACCTTTGATCTGTGGGTCCATTTTATTTTCACTCCAGCTAAAGCCACGTTTATTATGGCCGTCGGCCGATGAGCTGAACCAATTTGTACGTTCGAGAATAAATAGATTAATTAAATGTGCATCTCTAATTAATCACCTTGAAGCTTCTGGAAGCTTCTAGAACCTTCAAGAGGAATTCAAACTTGAAGAAGACCTGTAATACTGAGTTACAAGACTCACTTTTTGATCCGATAGTAGATTTGGGCGCTAGCGATATGAAGCCGAGATATCCTGTCTTGGACCAGGAACCATTAGCTGTGGGTATGGACAGGTTGAAGTGGTCGGGGGTGGGGTCTGTGGCTGTACTGGATAGACAGTAGTAGCCGCTACAGTTGTGTAAACTCGATATCCACAGCTGAAACAAGGAATTGTTATCACGTGGTCCACATATTTATTATATTACCATCATTTGTTTCTCTTGGTAATGTCTTCCATTCTATTCAGCTCAGGCAAGGTCTCTAATTCAAATGTCATTTAAGACTTTTGTAGTCTACCGTAAGTTGTCATTAATCAATTAAATTCACTAGTGAACTGTTTAAACTTGCTAATTGCACATCATTCACAAAGGTACGCACCTCTCCGAGTTGGTTAGGTGGACACTGCTCCTTCTTGTCCAAGGACACAGCTATAAGTTTACAGCCAGGCAACAAAGTACCAGACTGCATAAGCGCCACTGAGTGAGGGGAGCCCTTGTCCACTGTCACGATCTTGTCCATGCGCAGTGCGCGTAGGTCCACGTGGGTAGTCGAGGGTGGAGCATGAGACGCACCCTGTGGAGAAAGAGTTAATAAAGAAAGAGAAAGAGAAATACAGAAGAAAGAGAAAGAGAAATACAATTTATTATTCCTTGGCACTTACACTACTGAATACACCTGCGAAATGTCGAGTATCCGAGATTTGAATGGCTAATAAGCAGTTACATCACTGCTTGGAGTGTGATAACATTATTTTCCCAACTTTGAGTTGTGAAAATAGTTTTATCCAACGAGTTCGACGAGGTGGATAAAACGAGTTACACATGTTCATGTTATCACACTCCAAGCAGTGATGTAAATTCATTCTCCGATGATCTACGAAATGATGCTAGCGAACGCAGCATTTACATCGGAAAATAATGGCTGATAATATTATATAGGCCCCATTAGCCTGCAATCAGTGCAAATCACTTCAGCTACTGTTTTGTTTACACCTGCCTAGCAATCGTGGAAGTTAGGCAGTCTGTGGTCATTACGACCAGAGATTGCTATTAACCTAGGAGGTCACTGTCTAATCAAGTAATGCCGTCTGTAATTAATCGATAAGCATTACCGCAAGTTCTAGAGTTCTGTTTAAGAACAGTATTTAAATTCCATAATTAAGAATCATCAAAACCATAATTATACGGTTCGGTGGATACCGGAAGTGCTAAGTGGTTTGACGTGCACAATTGCACAGGATTCAAAATCTTCATTACTCTTACAGCTCTCTTATTATTGTTGTTGTTGTTCTCGTATTACCTATAGGCTTATAATTAACGTACTTTAGTTCGACATGTACTCTGGTTCGATAACTAAAGTTTACCAGAAATCACCCCTGTCGACCTACAGTGCGTGTTGAACTAGAGTACCATCAGCACCAAACATTTGATTGCAGGATGTTTTGAAGATAGAGCTGCATCAAGATTATGATTGAACTGCGTGCAGCTGATGAATCATTCAAGTTTTAACGATATTTGTATAGTAAATCAGTACTTGCTTTGTGACTTTATTCTATTATGTTATAGAATATAGAGCGTTATATGTGCAGTTTGCTGAAATATGGTCGTCGTATTCTTACACGTAAGATAATTCAACTGGAAACATTACCATCTTATGACCAGTAACCACGATATCAGCAACGCGTGAGAGCAAATACTTATCTCAAGCTGGTAACATCATCACTTCACAACTTATTCTGCATAATAAGATGAATTTTGTTTTTGTTTATTCTCCTCAATTTCTTTGTAATTGTTGGGTTAAGTGACCAATTGAAAAGCGTGAATTACTGCTATAGAATATTCTTCGTAGGTTTTTCTAGAAGAAGCGTGCCAAGGTTTAATTAATTATAGTAGAATGTTAATCATGATATGATCACGTTAGCTACTCTCATTAGTAGATATTAACTTCGTTAACATCACTAGTATGTCCCTGTTTCATTCAAGCAATAAGTTCGAGAGAAGCTAAATAAAAGCTCATTAAAGCTCATCATTATCCGAGTTTAAATGTTTCGTAACTCGGGTTCGATCTAATGTTTCCTAACTTCAAACCATTAATAACGTTAACAATCTCACTTACCCTGCAACACATATCATTAATAAGGATAAGCATTTAGCCGACTATTAGCCGGCTATTAGCCGTTTAGAAGCCAGCAACTTCACTTACCCTGCAGCACATGCCGATGTTAGCTCTGCACCCGAATGTGGTTGATATACACTCTGATGGTAGTCCCAGTTCCGAGGCCAGAGTTGAGAAGTTATTGATAAGGGAGCTCTTGGGTCGCTCCTCTGCTACGATAAGACACGTCCTGATAGAACCAAGGTCCAGACCCTTTAACTGAAATAGTGAAATAGTGAAATAGCGAAATAGTTAAATAGTGAATTAGTGAAAAAATGAAATAGTGGCTCGTATTTAATATAGGGTTTTCAGTTTTCACTACCATCAGTCATTGACAGTCATGACGACAACTAAGTGGGTGACACAATCTCCCTTTAAATTGAATAAAGCACAAACCTTGAGGCCGTCCATGTTGCTGGCTAGTTCCTTGGTGCACTGCTCCAACACAGTATAAGACATGAAACTGTCCCGGACTTTGTACTGGGACACAGCTTGTAACCAAAGTGAGGGACTTGTCTCCAACTCGGAGGGAGGAACCAAGATAGAGTGGTGTCCTGCGTACACCCTGAAGAAGAGGGTGTCATTAAATGGTGCTCAAATCGGTACTTTTAGTGACACCACTTTACAATGACGTGTCGCTGGAGAGTGTAACTCACGCACTATATCGTGTAACTCACGCGCTATATCGTGTAACTGACACACTATATAGTGATTATTGTCAGATATCTAGTTGTAGACCAATAGAGACAGTTTCGCTTGGCAAGCAGCTAATCCTACTTGTGCTATAACATGTGTTCATATTCAAGAATGCCTGAAGATACTGGTACAACTGAAGAAATTGTGGTAGTAATGAATTTGTTTGTCAAGTTTGGATTCCGTTAGTTCGGAATATTATTACGAATATTCTCTGCTTTATGTTACGTCAGATAGACACGTTAAGGCTGCAGTTGGAAAGCACTGTTCTTTCAGTAGATCTTAACGCATAATATTTTTTCTAACTACTACTATCCAGCTATAGACGTGGGTAATGCAATGGCGAGGTCATGACGCAGGACGAGACTACTTGGACATTGTTGGTAGAGCCCGCAAGATGATTGGTTCATACTTTTCACGTGTCACGTGTTAAACGCAAATTTGCGGCAACTATTCCTACCTCCACGTGCGTCTACCGTTAGACTGTAGTTTTAAGATCTTGTGATTTCGCAACGTAGATTTTAGGCTTCTGTTGGGTCTGTTATACTCTCCTAGTAACCAATAAGTAACAAAGTAGTAACCAAATAGTAACCAAATAGTAACCAAATAGTAACCAAATAGTAACCAAATAGTAACCAAATAGTAACCAAATAGTAACCAAATAGTAACCAAATAGTAACCAAATAGTAACCAAATAGTAACCAAATAGTAACCAAATAGTAACCAGGTTAAGTAGTAACCAATTCCACCCAAGAAGAGATTACTACACCAGCTCCCCCATACTTGTACTGTATTATCCCTGATTTGGGCGTGTGTTCCTGGTAAAGTTCACGGCAGCTTAATGACACTGTCGCCCTAGTTCCAGACAGAACGTAGGAACTCCATTAATCTACCAAGTAACAACTCTCTCTCTCTCTCTCTCTCTCTCTGATTAATACTGGTTAGAGTGCTCGTGCTCTCTCCCCACTACCATGGTAGTTATGCTCGTGTTCACTCTTCACTTCCGATGGTTACAAGGTTTATGTTCACTCCTTGTATTGGTCTCTGCGGCGGATCACGATGTTTCATTTTTATCGTATTAAACTGATTTACCTACTAGCTGGTACCTTCTTTTAACAATAATCGATATAGCGATATGACTTTTTACAATCTTTTATCAGTTACAATCTTGTATTCAGTTACAATCTTTTAACAGTAACAATCTTTATTCTAGCTTTTGCAACACTTTAATTGCTCTCTTATCGGTAGTGTTATCTCAATCTGCTGTTACACCGACACGTCGTGCTGTACGCCTTACCTTTTGTAAAATGAATTTTTCGTCGAACATCTGAACAGATTTGAAAAGGAGTTATCGTCAGCAATGAATGAGATTTTGAAGATGTCAAAAGCACAAATCGTTACAGAACTGAACCATTCGAGATTAATGGCCGTAAATAAAGATCCCTTGGCTACTGCAGTCTGCAGTTGAGAATCTTTCTAAGCTGATGACTAGTAATCTTGAACTATGTAAATGTGCGGCCAGTACGATAGACAAACTTAAATCAGATCAGCTTAACTATCAGAAAGACCAGATTAAACAGCAACACTCGACTCTTTTAAAACAACTGTTCATACCGAGATGAAAACAGCGTGGAGCGACATCGTGAAGAAGAACTGCGAGACATCTACAAGTACTCCGTCGATCAACAGTATATAAACAGCTGTAAAAACCGTAGTTGAAGATGACATCCGTAGTAAAAATTTCATTATCTACGGTGTACCGGAGAATTACTCCCCTGATCCACACTTAGTGGCAGAAGAAGTGATCGAATTGATTTGGGAATCATCAGGGTGTGATCCTAAAGTTGTGGCAGCAAATTCTATCGGGACTAAAACAACTTCAGGCAGTGGTAAACCGAGACCGTTAAAAGTGACATCGGCCTTGTGCGGAATCAGTAAAAATGGTTCTTGCTCGAGCAAGAAATCTGAAGAAATCTAAATGTACAGGGTACCACACATGGACCATGGTACATCACACCTGACAGAAGCAAGGAGGAGAGAGCAGCTCATCAGAAACTTGTTGTCAAAGTAAAGGAAATGATCACTGCTCAGCCAACAAAGTATCATAATATTAGAGACGGCAAGATTTTCAGTGTAGATAAGGTTAAGGTGTAACATCCAGTGTTTTTGATATCTATATAATTACTTTGAATTAAATGTGTGTATGGCTCTTATTTATAGCTGATGCGTCATGCGTGTATTTGTTGATTTCGGCCGATAACGAGGAACGTTTAATTGTGAGTTATAAAACTGCAACCGTGATTTTAACTCAGGTATGTGATGACTTGTGGAGCACACATCGCTGAATAGCAATCGCGAAGCAGGTCTCACCAAGGCTAGGTATATCTAGGGTTTTCTTTTTCTGAGGACGCTTTGCCAGTAGTTTTACTTTTTGTGTTGTGTGCTACGGTACAGCGTTTCAATTTTTGGATATAGTGGTATGTTCTATTACAGATATCTATATTTATCTAATTCTAATGTAATATTTCAATATTATATTATATAATATATTATATAATATATATAATATATATATATTATATATATATTGTACAACTTTCGTCTTGGTAGATTCCAAACACAAGGAAAGTTTTCCTTTTGGTTGGTAATATACTCAATGATGGAAGTACAGTGTATTGGCTATGCCCCGCTTACTAGTTTAGCTCTTTCTAGTCCCCTGCTACACGGCATGTAAACAGGGATTGGCTAGTTAGAGGCGGTCCGTGTAGGCCTTACACTGTGCTTTCAGCAATACTCATAGTAAACATTAACCAGTGTACCAAAAGCTGGTCCCCAAACAATCATTTTTATCGTATTAAACTGATTTACCTACTAGCTGGTACATTCTTTTTAACAATAATTGATATAGCGATATGACTTTTTAGAAGAACCACTTGGTCACCTTTTTTTCGGGACACCTTGTAATATTATCAATTCCTTACCCGAAGAACAACTCCTCTCTGTCATAATCGTACAAGATGGATCAATATTTTATAATATTTATTATATCCAAGCTTTTTATCCAGCTTTTTATTTAGCATTATTATCATTATAACAGTACTGCAACCATCATTAACAGTGTCAGTTGTCACAAACCGTTACACCACGTGGTATTGCTAGTCGCGTGATCACACCACGTGGTATTGCTAGTCACGTGATCACACCACGTGGTATTGCTAGTCACGTGATCACACCACGTGGTATTGCTAGTCACGTGATCACGATCAAGAAATGTCATATGACTGGACCAACTGCTAGCGAGCTACTCGTTATATAAACTGACGGTTGAGCTGTTAAAATTGATAATACCCACCCTATTTTTTGTGCTCTGTGCGGTTAGAAAGTCTAAAATAGAAAACTTGACACCTTTTTACCTGGACAGATACTTCATGTATGATGATCACACACTACCGCGTCACTACTGTGTGAAAAGTCACCTTTGAGGATAATGTTTATGTTTTTTGAGTATCTTATCACACCAAAATGTTCATAAAATTATTATTTGCTATCAAAAATAGGTAATGTCACAACTTAGTAGCACAGGATGGTCCAAAAAATGGCGACCAAGTGGTCAGTATTTATATGTAATTTACATAAGCTGTGGTGTGCAACCCCCTTGAATGAATTAGAGGTCTGAACATATTTGCACAGATTCCAGAGACTGTGAAATTCATTCATTCGATGAGGGCGTGGCAGTCACATGATGTTTCTGGCTAATTTTCATGTTATCGGCTTGAGCTTGGTTCCAAGTGAAGATAATGTTAGACTGACCTTGATACTGCTCGAATACCTCACATGAGTCGCGTAATGATCAATTCATTGAGAGTGTCATGTGCTGATTGAGCAATGGGCATAAGCTGTTTAAGTAATCCAATCAAGCCCCATGCTTGAGGAAAAACCAATATGCCAGATGGAAAAGTTCCTGATGAGGATTGAATCACTCAGTCGCTTTACTTTGGGTCTTAACCATAAAATGAAAGCAACCCCAGTACCCACTGTTCTAACCTCTGTTTTTGTACGTGTAGTGACTGATGAACAAATTTGATTAGTTTCATTACTTCCACTGCTAATCTCTGATCACAATGGTATATTGCACCAGATTACGGTTAATGATAATTCACAGTAACGTACTAACCCCGGCTATTAGCTGTGATAGTAGTGATGCACCGACCTCTGATGTTGCCTGGTAGTTGACCTGGTGAAGGTAGGTGGACCACTAAGTAGACCACTAAACTATCCAAGAGGTTTGATATTGCATGATTAGCTCAGTGAGATCATGGTTTTAATTTCATTATTTTGTCTCCCCCTATCTGATCGGTAAGCACCGGCAACCACCAGTGAAACCAGCGTACCGGTAACAACCGGTTACTAACCAGTTATAAGACACTCCGTGCTTTGATGGACGCATGTTTTTTAGCTTCTACGCAACTTTTGAGTTCGAGGCGTGTTTTCACGAGAAGACGCTTGCGTTATCAGTGATATCTCTAGAGAGCTATATTTCGTTTTGGTTGCTAACCAGATCTTGCAAAGTCTTGTAAATCCCATAAGATGTTGTAAATAAGATTGCAAAGCCATCTAGCTTGTTCAGTGTACACTTCTCTGAGCTGAGGAGCCATTTGGCCGGTCATCTAACCACATAACTGCAGAATCACGTCATAGTAAAATAGTATATCATGACGACGATTAGGGCAGATACGGTTGCCTCCATGATTGGCAAATTGTAGCAGCTAATTGTAAGAGGTTGGTAATTAATGCCAAAAATATCAAATTGAAATTATTACAACTGATCAACCCTCGTGGCTCGTGCAGTAAACACTTTGAACACTGTTCAATTCGTAGCTGGCTGGATATCATAATCCATGAGAACTTCATTCAACGAATTATGACTCACCATGTATTTGATATTTAACTTGATAAGTGTTTTTTTTTCTGGGTAAAAACGAATACCTCCGAATTGCTCATAGAGTTAATTTTCACTTTTCGTTGTGATAATCTATTCAAGTTTTGCTATAAAACATTTTCAAAACCGATCTTTCGGTTAACATTAAATTTTGCATCTATCCGAGGAACTGATTATTTAACATGGATTACAAATAGCTGATATAATATCTCAAGATACCCCCTCAAATATACAGCAGTCATCATCTACTTGACCATAGAGCAATTAGAAACAGGAGATGGTAAACCTGAAACCTACCAACATCAATTGTAGGACCAGGTCGCGGTAGGGTCTGTCCACCCACCATTATCATCATAACAAGGCCATTCATACCATTCATACGTGCTGTTTTCAGGCTAATTTGATTGTTCAGTGCAAAGGTAGCCGCTACAGTACAAAGTAATCATATCGAGCCAGACACATAGTTGCAGGTCCTGGATCAGAGTACATAAAATGAGATACATATAATCATGATAATATCTGGCGCTGATGATACCTTTCGTAGGTTTCAATCTAGGTTGTGGTATTTGTGGGGTTTGAATTCAATGTTAGGACATCAGTGTTCCAACGAACTAGTGAGATATTAAAACTTTCGAATGTTAATGCATATATATTTATTATATGTATGGAATAGGATGATCAAGTTTTGTTGTCCCCAATTGTTATTGATAAAAATTCCAAAACCTGACTTTATTTTACCACGATTTAAAACTATAAGTATATCTTGCTTTAAATGCGTCATGGAGCTTTAAAATACAAACATAATGGTCGCTATTTCTTGATACAAACCCAATGGTTACAATTACAAGTGCAATTACAAGTGTAATTTGTAAGTGAGACTTTTAAAAGATCAAACCTCACTGATCCTCAATATATCCCAGCTAAATGTGCATCTCATGACTGGGTTACCAGCCATCCCGACCTGGACCCTGGACCTTAAAAACACCACCTCTACTCCAAACTTCACGGAGGTGATCTCAGTAGACTTCGTTGTGGGAACCCTCTACCTGCTGTGTCTGCTTGTACCTGGTCATTACCGGGGTGGATGTCCTGCTTTGTGGTACTGCTTCTATCATTGCTTTTAATTTGTTCAGCGAGAGAAGTCCACTGCTGTTCGGCTATTCCTGGTGAGTTTATTAAGAGTATCCCAATCTTTTCAGCCGTTATCCTGTTCAGCTCTCTATTATACCCTCGATGGTTTTATAGCATTAGTAATCTGTTAGATCCCTCACAAACCACCCTTCCAGGTTCTGTATAGGCTGGAGGATCATATTCAAGTCTCTACAGCGACTCTCAGTATTCCTGGTACTGGTCCTGAGTATCTCCCGTACCACCGTTCTGGTCATCCCACTACACCACGTACGTAAGAAGACCGTCCTGGGCTCCATTGTGGGCTACCTGACCTACCTGCTCCTGGAGAATATCATCCTGGAGCGCGAGGAGACCATAACATACGACAGGATCGATGTGTACTGCTACGAGGAGGACAACCCCAGACTAGTATCAGTACTGAATGATTCCCTCCACGTGGCGACCCTGGGGCTCCCTCTCATTCCTATAGTTATTAGCTGTATCGTGTCCGTGTACCACGTGCGTCACTCCAACCACCTCTCCGCGCACAGCGACGTGGCGGGCTCTGTAATGAAGCGCCGCGCGACCGTCACCGTCATCATGCTGACACTAACCTACTTGTTGTTCAACATTCCACTGATAGCTAATCTGGTGGTGTGGATTGTAACGGTTAACCACTACGGAGGGTGGCCTGGTCCTGTATACGCTACAAACACCTTCCTCTACATGTACTGTTGGAACCTGACGGATGTCTTGTTTGTGGGCCTGAACGCTGCTGTTAACCCTATCATTTACTTCCTGAGATTCCCTAACTGTCAGAGGTGGATTGTTGGTAAGTTGAGGGGGGTGTTTGATAGAGTTGGGAGTGAGAGGGAGGTGAGGGAAGTGAGGAGGTGCTCCGACTTTCGTGTTGACAAGTGTTCTATGATACTGAGTAAGGACTATACCGACACCCCCTACTCTGATATGAAGATGAGGAAGATAACAGAGCAAAGTCATGTGATCCCGTCATGTGACCTGCCCAGTATTGTTACACCTGATGGTGTTATCATCAGAGAAAACAGCCTGGGTAAGGAACTGGACACTGTTAGTAATGAGTCTACTGGTGTGAACTCTGTGTATAGTAATAGATCAGCTAATGAAGCAGATCCCCGAGAGAGTTAGACTCGTAGCTACTGACGGTGTACCAGTACTGATGGTAGTGTTGGTACGGATGGTAGTGTTGGTACTGATGGTGTACCGGTACTGACGGTGTACCGTTACTGATGGTAGTGTTAGTACTGACGGTGTACCGGTACTGACGGTGTACCGTTACTGACATGATGGTAGTGTTGGTACGGATAATAGTGTTGGTACGGATGGTAGTGTTGGTACGGATGGTAGTGTTGGTACGGATGGTAGTGCTGGTACTGATGGTAGTGTTGGTACTGATGGTAGTGTTGGTACGGATGGTAGTGTTGGTACGGATGGTAGTGTTGGTGGAGGTATCAGTAATGTGTATATCAGACTGTTTTACAAGGAGTAGCAGTGAGATGCAGACAGATCATCCTCATGCTATCCTCTCGTGGGCCATCCAGGCCCAGCTTCTCTAAAAAAAGGGAAAAAAGGAGTAGTAGAGCAACGCCAGCATCTGGTCATTACACAAAAACTACTAAACACTCAATTTTCACTTCTTCTCTTCCTTATCCCTAGCACCAGATAATCATCGAACTTAACCACTGTACAGAAAGTATACAACTATCAGTGCTAATAAATGGAAGTACATTTTAGAAAAAGTTTGCTAATTATTCCCGTTTTATTATTGTTATTCCCACTAAATGTTTATTCAATTTCCTATAGCTATAATCTTTTTGTTATAACAATAGCTTTTGGTATTGATGACCATGTTTAATCTATCATTTTACAACTGGTTGATACTCACAGCAGAACAGAAAAGAGAATGTAAATTATTAATACTCTATCCATGATACAATAAGTCTAGAAACATATCCAATAAATACATAAGTAACATACCCAGCAAGGCACCATAAGACGAAGCCCATACCACTGAAGGGGTCCAGAGAAAGGGCTAGATGCCGTGAAGGGTAGAGCTCACACGCGCTCTTTAGTGCGCGACAGTATCCGTTACAGGCAGCGTGGGACATCTGGGGAAATGGGGGTTAGTTGGGGAGATTGGGAGATTGGGGTTAGGTGGACGGGGGAAATGATGTGTATCATAGAATTTCAGTGAGATTTTGTAAATGTTTTTAATTTGTCAGAAGATTCGATAAATAGCAGGATTTAATAAGTAAGATTTAACGAGCGAAGCTGGCAAACAAACCTTGACTCCAGTGAGGAGACCGTTAGAGTTAACAGAAAAGTCCAGGTAAGCAATCATCTCTGGAGTGGGAGGTTTGTAAATGGTCACTTTCTTCTTGTTCACTGCGTCGTCTGTCTCGATAAACATGGGCCACTTCTTGGGGTCCACTACTTGTGACCCTGCCTGAAATTTGTCGTGTTTTGGAGCAAGTTTTTTAAATCATAAAAAGAATTATATGTCCGGTAAATAGTTAGTTCTACAAAATAAAAAATTTGATTTTTTCCGTTCACCCTTATGTAATTAATGAAGATGTGTTATTATTCTGTCTTACCTTGCTGGTCATCAACTTCATAACACCATGCGTGGTCAAAATAGCCATGATATTACAACACTCCATCATCATCTTCAGGGTTGGCAGTGCGGCCAACAGATTGTCAGCGGAGGGTGGTCTGATGCACACTGGTACTAGCCCCGCGTACACGCAACCGTAAAACGCGGAGATCAGCTCCTGAGAAAGTTACAAATGTTAAGGTTACTGGACCATTTCTTCTGTATTCCCAAATTCATCTAAATCTTGGCCAGAATTTCTGAGAGAGAAGGAAGGTAATACAAAAGAGAAGATGAGTCTAACCAGTCCTGCAGGAAAGAGAAGTGCCACGTTATCTCCAGAGTTAAGTTTAGCTTTCTCCAGAGTGAACCCTGCTATCCGTTCCGCTTTGCGGTGCAGCTGTGAGCACGTGTACTTGTGTCCTACGTGAGCCTGAAAGGGTTCTGTTAGATATAGCTACACGTGTAACTCTCCATTTCACTTCAAAGTGGATTCGGACAGATGGACCAAACTAGCAGCCCAATTTCCAAACAGACGATCACACAATTTTCCTGTTTTCTTGACAAGTGGTTTGTGTCGATAGATTTCCTTTCTTTTTATATTTCTAACACCAGCTATCAAAACAATATTATCACCATACTTATCCATGAAGTAATGACTAAAATATCTCGCGTACCTTGCTGTCTAGCAGAGAAAAGAGAACGTGTTCAGGGGTCTTCTGAGCGCGGAACCTCAGCGTCTCCGACAGGAACTCAAACTTCTTGGCAGCGTCCTGGTCGTCGAAACTAATGTCTAGGGGTGTCCCCGACGCCTCCACGCTCCTGCCTCCACTCTTGAGTGCCATGTGCATGTGCATGTTAACTGGCAGCTCTGAAGAGAAAATGTATCATCATCAGAACTAACATTATACTTTCCGGCAAAATATCAGGACATTTCCTGTAGTGCCAACGCTAAAATGACAGCGGTAAACAATCGGGAACAGAAATAAACTTACCGTTCAAGTTTTTGGGTTTTGGTAAGTTGGTTATACATCGATAAGGGAACATAAGTATGTTTGATGGGTTGAGTTGTCCTTTCATAAATTTGTCTTTCGTTTCTTTTATGTTCAGACTTCCGTCACTGCACTGTAATAGGGGTGTTTAGAAATAACCTAAATCTGAGTTCTCTATTTAACTCCAAAAATTCAAGAATAATCACCCCATTCCAAACAATTTGACAAGTATCAACAAACCTTCGGAAGTCCGGAGGGAGCCACCAAGAGGATGCCGTACACAACAACTTGATGGATACTCTCAATAGCTTGCTGAACGTGGGACATCCACTGGAAGGACTGTTCGTCGCTAAAGTTGTTACTTTGTTCTGCCACCACCACTATCCTCTCCTCTCTTAATAAGGGAACCTGGAGATGATAAAGGAGATAAACATGGAGCTGAGGATGTTCATTTAGTCACTAAAATCAAGTTAATATCTCAAACTTTTAATTATAATTGTTCCAATTTTTTCTCTCGACAACTCACAGAAAATATGGCAACTCTGAGTCTGTGAACAAAGCTGGGAGGTTCGACCGCCAAAACGGTAGCTCGGAGGTCCTCACTGTTGTGGACCCTCCCACCCAGTTTGATCATTCCCGCTACTGTCCCGGACACAAAGACTGATCCGGCTGCGTTCACGAAACCGAGGAGACCTGTTTTAGCGTAGGCATGGTTACCAACCGGCCTGCCTTCTTTGTCGAGTGGGATGACCTGCAAGGAGCAATGTTATCAAGATAATACTTTGTTCGGGACTAAAGAAGTAAAAAGTGTAATTTAAATACATATAACATGTGGTATTTTTACAGCTACGCCTAATAAACCAAACGCTATCGAACACTCGCTCAACAAACCTTAAAGTACTGTTCAGATTTGCCAGAAAGCCCAAAGTAGCCAGATCCACAGCTGATGCTACTGATACAGATCTCACCAATCTCGTCTGTTTTACACATCATAGATCCTTCCAGTTTCAGGATGACCAGGTTCACTAGAAGGTTACTAATTTTATGATATTATTTTTTTCAAAAATCACACTGTGAAAGCTAAAAGAATTTAAACCTCACCAAAGGCGTAATTTCAAACAGACAAATAGCAAAGTCGGGTGATTTGCCTTATTCATCCCGACCCTACCCAGCATTTCTTGCAAATCTCGCATCTCTTAAATAACGTACCTCCAGGGAGAACATTCCCACAGTCCTGTAAACTCAGACTGGTGAGATTGGCGTCCTCGTCGTACTTAACAACGTTGTAACTTAGAGCTGATAGGGATAGTACTCCCCGGTGTCCTATATCGCTCCTCGGCCTGGGAACACAGTTGTTTATAGAGGTGGACACTAACTTACAGCTAATTAAATTGTTAATTATAATTTGTGGGTTGTTTCTTTTTTTAAGTATGTTAGTTGAATTGCGGCACAGACTGGCTAGTAGCCAGGCTAGTTTTGCTCGATGTAAAACTCTCGTACATTACCATTCAATCTTATAATGGGTTTGGCCAGTGTGAAAGCCTATCAGGTGCACCATTTTTTCATGGCTTCCTTTGTAATTCAAAATCTGTATGTACCCAAAATATAGTGCTCTTAAAGAGAACAGTACACGACACCAAACGTTACACGCTACTTTAATAAACATTTTAAAGTTTTATCAGTACTAAAAGTTTAAAACTTTACACGATACTTTTATAAAGATTTACTTTACGTTACACGATACTTTAATAAATTATATAACTTTTATTAACAGTAAAAGTATAACCCGATACACTTTAAACACCATTGTACGAAAGATCCAAACCCAGGATACCCTGACTGGAAAGGGGAGGCGGTGCTACACTTGTGTTCTGTGGACTTTTCAGAACATACGAAGAATGGTTCCTGGCACCTGTCAAACTAACCCCATGCTTCACTGGTGACACAATCAGGCTACCTGCTTTGTCGGCGGGAAATGGTTGAGCAGCCCTCAACAATTTTCCCGTTTTTCTTCTTCTTTCTCAGACTCGCCGACGGATCAATGATTGGCGAGTAAATCGGAGACGGAGTCTCGTGAACTATCGATCTAAATATTGCAGGTATTAATGCTTCATGACGTTATGAGTGAAGCATGATGACGTCACGTTAATGACGTCACCAGCAGTGCTGATTGTGCCACCAGGACACACAAAAAGACCCTTCAGACAATATCCTCGCCCTAGTAGCAGCAGTACCTCAGTGACCTGGACGCCTTCATGGTCTCAAATCTCAACTCCTCAACCTCGGACTTCCTCCGTCGTTTCTTAGTCTTGGTACTGTACTTGACCTGTCTGCCCCTGCTGTAACTCCCAGGTGACATGTTGGTCTCGTACACACTACCCGGACTCAGGGGTACACTTCCGTACTCGCTTCTCTCTGTTCTGTGTAGCGAACGATGATAATTCCTCCTTTTTTTAAGCAGGAACACAACAGTTGAATAGAGATTAGAGAACCTTTATGGGACATGGCAACCCAGCTATACACTATGTAGGCTTCTGCCCCCGAATGTTTAGCTTCAAACCCCTTTATTCGTGTAATTTGTAATAATTATATTCAAATAAAACAGCTGTAAAAACTCCACAACACACATTACCTCCTCAGAGCGAATGTAAGAGAGTTAGGACTGTAAGCACAGGGACACATGGCGGCTGGGTCTAGGCCTTTAGTTTGGAGACTCGACTGGAAACTGTCACACGTGTAAACCGTCCCTGAATTTGGCTGGGTTAGCATCGTAGATGTTAATATGGTGTTGCGATAAATTATCCGAATTTTTAGATAACATAGATGAAAATTCAGTGTCATGGGATCACTTGAAGGTCAGTGTTGTGTAGTTTTTGGGTTTCTGATCACATTTTTGACCAGGTTCCTTTGTAAATTGTATTATGTTAGGTGCAAAGTTCTGGATCAGAACGTGTAATGTAATATTACTAGTATTCATCGTATGTGAATATTAACAAATATTCACAAATTCTTGGGCAGTGCGATAAGTTGTCATGCTCTAACTATTGCAATATTTTGTTATGTATTGCTGATGTTAACGTTGCAATTAATTAAATAACTAAGTTCTGACGTACGGCTAGAATATACTGAAAACTTTAAATTGAACACATCAATCTTACTGCACATGTAACTTAGAAACTTAATATACTCGAACCCATTCTCTCCTTAGAAAAATAAATAAATAGATTTAGCAATAATGAATTCACTTAAAATCTAAAAATTCACAAAAACTCACATGGTTGGTATCCATCCGATACTAATATCATTTCAAGACAAGCCAAGTTGATATCTTTTGGCATTTGTGTAACTTTCAGAGCGTTCAACATCGCTCTTGATGATGTAACCGCGAATTGAGCTGAAATAAGGACATCATTATAATCAATTAAACCGCTAATTAAATCAATTAAATTTTCTGATGTCGTCACTGTTATTAACATAGCATAAGACAGGAACTTGGTAATATTTTGTATAAAAAGAATGGCAGACTACAACTTGGTAGTGCCCATGGGTTGCAGCAACTGGAGGGACTGGGCCTGTGTAGTTTTGAGTTCACCTCAACAGTGCGTACCCCCACCTGGGGTGCATCTGGAGGTTTTGGTGGGTACCTTATGACATGTAGTAACAGATCTGCCTATCGCAGGGACGAGCGATCAATGTTGGATGCATAGAGTACACAAAGCAACCCAGCACAGTGCGCGCAAAAGTTGGATATATAGGGAGGAAAGGTAGAAAATATTTCCTTGTGTTTGAGTATTGACAAATGTTAATTGTCGCTATTTGTTGAGTTAACCAATAATAATTAACCGGAGAGTTGGGAGTTTCATATCATTTAATTTATTACGTTATTTTATCAAATTATACAATGCACCGAGTTAATCCAGAAATAAACCAGTTTATCGTAACATTAGCCTCACATTGACATGCTTACATTTAATACACTGACCAGTTACTTTGCACAACCACACACTACTCTATTCAGTTGTATGCAATTTCCTAGTAACTACACAGTACATACTGATATTTCATCCGAGTACAAAACTCGATTACATGCACGATTGACGTACACTACAAATTTGTAGTTAATGTTGCTGGAGAAAGCCAGGAGCGGGAGGTTGCCCGTTTTTCGACACTTCAGATGCGCGCAGTTTGCTTGGCAGGCAAAGTTGATAAACTTGACAAATCTAATTAGTGGCGGTGGAGCAAATTTCTTGCTAAAATTAGCCAGTAACGGCGAGCTTTATGGTTTCTTCAGAGAGGAAATAATGAGAGTAGACAGTGACTGGTGACACTGTAGACACAAAATATTTATACAAGCCAATTTTAGAGTGGTTGAGTTTAGCGAAAAAATAACTCCAGAGTGACTATAGTGAAGTCTGTGAAGCGCAATTATTTCTTAGTCTCCACATCGAAAATACATTTCTTATCATTTTATTATTTGTTATGTACATTTCCCTGCATATTTTTCATTTTGTACAATTCCCGTATTTCCCAGTACAATTCCCTTATTTCCAAGTACAATTTCCATATTCCCCAGTATATTACCCATAATTCCCAGTATATTTCCCATACACTCTACCTTTGTGTTTAGTGATAACTTGTAACCAAGCAGCGGGGTGATTGCGGGACAGGAGAGGAGGGATGAATATCGTGTTAGCTCCAGAATAGATAGGTCCAAGAACGGACATTGCTAATCCCACCTGTAGCAGCGAGGAGTTAGCTAAATACTCAGGTAAATGTCTGATTATAATTAATTTAACTAAAATTACTGTTTAAAAACGTTTACTAATTATTTAAAATGTTGATACGTTTACAGAAGTGAGGACGCTCAAAAATTGCTGTTGGTCACCGTGTTTTGATCATTGTGGAGGAAAACAGATCGGAGATGGAAGCCAATACTTTCTGATTTAATAAATTAATATTCCCTTTCCTTTTTGAATATCGAGTGTAAAGTCTCACCTCTCGTTTAGGGTCAACAAGACTGACGATTATTTTTCCTCTGTCGTATCCGCACGCTTGTGACACTGCCTTTGTGTTGGTGACAAGAGCAGCTCGGGATAGGGTTACACCCATTACCTCACCATTTCGAGCTGTCGTATACTGAGGAGGACTCTATTAACAACGGGAAGTTGAAACCTTTAAAGTAGGAAAATTATTTCAGGAAGAAACACCTGTTACCGGATACAAACTTATCGTTTGTCTCATAATATAAATTAAAATAACCTCGATATAAGCAGTGCTGTGAGGGCTCTGTCGGGAGGGTGGTATCCACTCTTTAGGAGGTTTAGGACAGCTATCAGTCTGATACCACACCAGTTTGGGCCACCCTTTCAGCTGGACCACCTTGTGATCTGAGGGGTCCTTGGGAAGGGCTTTGTACCCTGTCTCGCTTGTCAGGGCTAGTTGGACCCCACAGGAACCCAGTAGGAACCCTAGCTGTTGTGCTCCTGGTTCCTGAAAATAATGGGTATCAGGGGGTGGGAAATATATTCTATTATCTGGTTGTTTCAGAGGAAACAGAGGAATTTTATGAGAGTTTTTACATTTGGGGCAATATCTCTATACTGTACTGATTAATATTTGATAAAATTTAAAAAACAAAAAATAAACTCCTTGGTTATAAAACACTAACCATGTTGGAAATAGGTGCCTCAACAGGGACTGGGACAAGGTTAGCAAAGAGGCAGGCAAAGAAAGCGGCAGCGAAGGCGCCAGGGTCTTGCGAAGGGTAGATCAGGGCTACTCGGTCTCCTTTTTTCAGGATAACATCTCCTTTCTCTTTCATCATGTACTTGGACATTATACCGTAAGCTATCTTCTGTGTTCTGCTTAGCAGCTTTGCTGAAAGATTATGGTTTTAAGAAAGATGTTGTTATAGGTGATTCGGCAAGAGTTGGGTTTAATATGTTTATAAAACAAAATTAACATAAGAAAATTATGTGGGGAATATTAAAATCTCCAAACGTACCATATGATACATGAGATGAAACTTTTCCGTTGTTATCGAGGATGGTGAACGCAATAGCTTTCCCTGTTTGGGTGCCGTGTTTATGTAAAGCTTCCTCTATACTTCGTGCTTGTCCTTCTACTTCCTGAAGAAATGGGTTAATTAAATACCTATAACCTAATTAATATGCAAATAACTTTATTATGAATGTTTAATGTTTATCTGTCGATCGAGGTGATTCAAGAAATGATTTAATAAATCAATAATAATCGTTTTAGCTTTTCAGAGGAAAGATTTTTGCTGAAACTGCAGGCTAGCAAAATGTTAACTTCTTCAGACAAGACTAAGATTAGGTAAGGTAATTAGTTAATTAGATAATTGAGATTAAACTCAAGAAAGCATGCAAGTATGTGTATTAAAACACAGCAAGTTTGTGTATTAAAACACAGCTTTACAGTGAGTAGTGATAATTGGAATCATTAGTGATAAGGACACTGAAATTAAGAAGTTGCATTCCATATGTTTTAGCGCAGAAATCCAGGTTAATAATCATTCAAGATGACAAGGTATTTGAAGACAAGGTGTTTTAAAAGACAAATTAAGAGACAAAGTGACACTAAGTCATGTGACATACGTCATCCCAGTAACTCGGTGAGTCATCCTCCTGGACACGGGGTAATTTAACTCATTTCATTGAACAGATTATATAATATAAACATATAATAAACATATAATACACGGATATAGATCCGGATTTGTATCTATATATCATTCGGATAACGGATACTTGAGATTTTGGAAAATTAATGGCGATCGAATTAATAGTAACAAATGATAGTATACTCATTATTTTCCATCACAAACATGACTGTGTAGTGTTAATATTAAACGGCACGGGCGGAATTGTTAATTAAGCAAGCATATTATCAAGTTATTTGGCAAGTTCCTTACCTCGAAGTCAGGACCACTCAATACTTCTGAACAAGGACCTTCTGGTTTGGGAGCATTAGGGTCCACTTCGGGAGCGGGAACTGAAGAGATATTATTTAAACTCATAAATTTAATTAATTGGAGTTGTTAGCGCACGCTATGATGTATATTCATGAAATCCTTGTATACCAATATAACGAGCTTCTAAGGTGACGCAAATGGAAAGGATGATGCAGCTCATATCATGGTACCGTAAGTAGCACAAGTATCACTTATTATTACTCCACAACCAATGACATGACAAAAATAATAACACATTCAGCAATAATTACTTTCAAATAGTTCATCATCTGAGACGTAGTGTTGTTTTTTCTTTGGTCGCTGAAAATATAGAAATTAATACTTGATGATGTTTACAAATTTCATAAAAATTTCATTAACATTAAGTCACCTTATTGTGGTGTGAAATGAATAAAGAGTTGAAATGTTCTGTGTTTGAATGTATTGGCGGCACCGACGGTAAATTCGAGAACATCCACTAAGCAGTCCCACCGCTAACTGACAACCTCCCAAAAACACCCGATATTAACCCAATCAATAGTTGAATGTTCACTACTTTTTCTACTGACTTAATAGTAGGCGTAAGGCGTTGATGATTAAAAAAGACGAAGAGAACTGAAATTATCTGTTATTATCTGCAATTATCATTAGTTGCAACAACATGATAATCTCAGTTCTCATCGTCCTGCTTATCATCTAATTTCTAAAGCTCAATCCCATGATAGGACACGTGGCCGGGCTCAAACCGTACCTTCCGTTTAGTACTGCCACGTGATGCCCATATATGGATTATACCGTACCTTCCGTTTAGTGCTGCTATTAAGAGTATCCTCACTCTTAGTCCTGGTGTGCTTCTTACGCGAGGGAGTAGCAGGAGGCAGGCAGGGCTGGGACCCATACTCGCTGGAGTTCATCTTCTTGGATATGAGACTTTGCATGTCATTCTCAATCTGTCTCCTCAACGTCATGCTGAACTCAGCTAACTGACGCTGTACAATGTCCGCCACGTCTGTGGAACACACGGACAGGGAGTCCGGGTTGAGAGCCTCATTGAGAGCCTGGGTAACCCGCCTCTCCCTGTTAACATCACTGAAATCAAGCAGGGAGGCAGCAGAGCCGATACTGTGTGTATCTGCATCGTCATCATCGTCCTTGTTATTGTTCTCGTCACTACTCTCCTCCTCATCCTGGTCCTCCCCTATAGTACTGGGGCTCCCCACCGTGCTACCACTCTCACTGGACCCTGTTTCTGTGGCCTCCTCCTCTGAGGTTTCCTCCTCGCTGCTAGAGTCCTGGATTTCGTAGTGGAACTTGTTCTTCAGTTCCGTGATCACTGGTTGGGAGATGGTATTGTGGGAACGGTTTATCGTGGCGTACTCCACTTCATCTTCTGCGAACTGATCCATCACACGTGCACCTGCGCGGTTTGTTGCACGTGCACCGTTCTTGTATGTAACTTACACCCCGTGCCGAGGAACCTAAACTATGACATTCTGCGCAGGATGAAGGATATCATGTCGTGAATTAATCAAACAGCGAAATTAATAAAATAAAACAAATTACGTAGTTGTACAGATGGTATAAGTTCACAAAGCGCCCTCATTGGAGAGGAAGATAAAGAGAGACACACTGTACCGGAGTAGAGCGGGCATTTAGTGTATGTATTTACCGTGTGTTACGAATAAGGATGTGCAGACTACAGTTAAACAACAGATTATGCAAATACATGTCCATTTTTGTGAGATTGAGCCACTATTTGGCCCCTCTAGGCCTACCCGGAAGAAGACGGAAAGTTTGACAGCGGTGTTCAACTGAGGCGCTAATAAAATAGCGAGCGTAGGACTATTTTAGGGTTATTAATGCGAGACAGTGAACCGCAAGCTGTCTGTAGTTGACACCAGCCATTGGGCATAACATGCGGCACTGCCAATAGGATTACGGCAAACATACCACGTGACACAAATCAACCAATCAGAGCACAGTATTCACACCACGTGACGGCAAATAGCCAATGGGAGGAGGGTAAGAGTGCATGCGGACAAGCAGCGCGTAATTAGAGCTACTAATTAGACACAGTGATACAGCTGTATCGCAGTACTTTAAATGGTAAACTGACGGTCATTCGTGTGATTTCTTATGATAACTGTTATCTGGACTAGTTGCATAAACCTCAATCACTCTCACATGACCATGATGAATCAGTTAGAAAGTAGAATAAGGTGGCAATAAAGGTGGCAATAAAGGTGGCAAACAACTTAAATACACTTCTTCCACCGACAACCTCAACAAACCGACACGTAATAAGCACAGCAGGAAATAATAATTATTAAATCAATTGGATCTGGCATACTACAGTATCAAAGCTTGATATATAAAAGCAGAAACTAAAGCTAGCCTACAGTTACAAAATATGTATGTCTGCTACACAAATATATATCTCGAATATTTTCTATAAATACATAATCCTCCGAGAACTTTAAATTTATCATAATATGTAGAAAAGTGAAAAGAGTGGGCATTGCTTACGAATTTTGAACTTTTTAAACGTGCTAATCGAGATATAATTGATGATAATTAATGAAAATTAACAAAAACACTCGAGCACTAGAAACTCGCGAGTGGCGTAATTGTATGACAAACACCTTAAGAATTAATTGTTGTATTAATGAAGGGAAATGTCTTCAAGTATCTACTACGAAAATCCACAACGCATAAGAAATCTTCGAATAAATTAAACGTCCAAATAAGAACTAAATATCTTAAACGAATTATAAAAACTAGGGCTTGTACGAACAACCACTATTGGTTATCTAGAAATACTTTCAGAATAACGGGCCCAGGTGTCGGTGATAACCAACAAAATTATGTCACACAAATCTCTTCAAAGCGTCTCATTTCTAAATATTTCAGAAATTACTAAACTGTCTAAGTTCCTAATGTTCTATTAATATTTACAATACTCTTTAAAATATCTGAGGTGAGAAACAGGTAAAAATTAAAGGCTACATCAGTAATACAAATTAACTAAGTATGCTAAATATAAACGTTTATTAGATTGTAGTCAAACTGAAAGAATGCGATAAAAAAGCCGTCATTTATAGAAAACTCGAATCGACAACTAAAGTGAAAATAGCCATTTTACGAGGAATCTTAGAATAAAGATAATCCGTCAGATGAATATATCAGTGTTAGTACGATAAGAAGTTGAAGTGTACAAAAGAGACATGGCCCTCAAACAGCGTGTGAAGCTGTAACTTTTTACTCTTCGCACTAATACGTTAGATCAGTATGCATATAAATCAACGTCATACTATGTTAAACATTCGTTTTAAGGGACTTATTAAAGGACGAAAAAATAAATGTAATATGAAATCGTTACAAAATTGTTAAAATTTGATAAAAAATGTTAGAAATATATCTGGGGTATAGGGTTTGACTAAATAGAATATACTTAAAAAATGCTATATAAAATGTACTTTAAATACTTTGAATACCTCTTCAATAACGTAATAAGGGTAACCTAAAATTCCTAACGCTAACGCTTTAAAACGACCTAAATACAATATCTGTACAATAAACTAATAAACTTAACTAACAACTACTTCGCAGATAAACAATGTAGATCGGGTCAATGTCTACAAACCACCTTAACACCTAAATAACTTTGCAGTTAACATGCTCTAAAAGTGTTAACCCTCTACACGAGTCCACACAGGTACTTCTTGAGCCGGCCGCTAAACTTCTTCTTCCTACACCGATCCTCCTCTATCTCTTGAAAAGGGTCACGTGACTTCACCACCATTCCCGTCAGTCTCAGGAACGCTTCTGTCACGTCGTGATTCGTCTTGGCAGAGGTCTCCATGTACTGTACTCCCAGGTTCTGAGCGAGCTGCTCTGCCGCGCCGCGCTCAATCTGACGAGAGCCCGTCATGTCGCTCTTATTACCCACCATCAGAAAAGGAAGGAGAGGTGGTACAGTGCCTTTAGCTATCTTCACCTGACTGAACAGTTCCTGTACGTGACTGAAACTGTCCGTGTCAGTCAGACTGAACACGCAGAGGAACCCCTCGCCGTTACGGAGGAAGGTGTCCCGCACGCTCGCGTAGTCCTCCTGTCCTGCTGTGTCCGTGATCTGAACGTTTACTTCACTGCCCTGGTGGGTCACATACGTTTGGTAGCTGTCCACTTTGGTTGGTTCGTAGTCCTCCACAAATTCTTGGTACAAGAAATGTAGAGAGAGAGCACTTTTACCGACGCCTGGTGCTCCGATTACTGTTATGTTGAAGCGGGGATCAGCAGAGTTCATCTTTTCAATTCTCCCCATAGCTGGGAAAATCCAACGAGCTATTAGATGTGCACATATTAGATAAAATCGGGCTAAATAACAGTCAATAGGGTAGGGAAGACGGTTAAAAACCAGATTTCCAGTGATAATTTAACATACTCTAAAGGATTAACGGAGAATATGGGGCCAACAAAAAAACTAGAAATGGTTGGGAAAAATTGAATTTTACGAGCCAGCCTTACGTTAAAACTGTATGCCTTAAAATAACAGCCTATGTGCACCAATATCGATATTTCGAGACAAACGAATATAAAAAAATTTGACCCTGTCATGCAACTGCAAATAAATTTAATAATAGCAACCAAAAATAGCGCACCGACACTTAATCACTTATGCTGCCGAATGAAAAAATGAAATTCCTGGCGGGATTAATGCATACAGCTGGTGCATGTGGCCTGAATGACAGAATTGAATTATTCGCGGGATTCTATTTTAGCCGGATAAACCAATTAGCGTGCCAGTGAAAATGCCTCCGAGTTGGGAAATGCTATCTTTATCTATAGATATTATCCTTTTACTGATTTGATGATTTCGAATCATTAATCTGGCGAAAGTGCTGGATCTTCTTCTGCTCAATGTTCAGTCTACGATCGCAAGTTTGTTAATTAAATCTGCTTATATTGCGGAAAATATCAATGTGAAAAGTGAAAATGCGTAAGTACATGTCTAAAAATAGTAAATGTAATTGGTAAAACCATACAACAATTGTCGTTATCTTGAAATAATGCCAGATTCTTGACAACTAATTAAATTTTAAGATGTCAAAAGACTTCAAATATTCCTAGGCTTGGTAAGTAATACAGCTGCTGGAACTTACGGTAGACTTTGAGCTTTCGTATGATAATACATAACAAAATAGTAGGTAACAATGACTTCTCAAAACTAATAGACTGCTTTCAAAATATTACTAAATCTACTCGATCAAAGGTGCGGCCCAAACTTGCGAATAAAACTATGGTAGCGAAATGTTTCACCTCAATTCACACTAAAAATGGGAGAGAAATGAAGGAGTGCAAGTTTAGAGGCACTTCAAAAGGCATCCTCTGGATAGTGTACAAATTAGCAGTAGAAGCCGGAGCAGTGTTCATTCTCCGTCGTGTCTGAAGTACTAGTAACCAGGCAGTACTCGGTACTTTTATCCGATACAAGCCACCGGGGTGTTGGTTATGTAACTTGTATGCATAGAGGCCTCAGTGTAAAGAAATGGGGGAAATTAGATGTTTAAAACGTACAAGGCAAGTAGTACAAGGATTATATATAATCCAGTCAAAGAAATGTAGCGTCGTAGCATACAAAGAAATGTTGTTAAGTAAGGTAAATATTGGATACTGAGTACCAACGTCTTCGTAGCTGACGTAATGGAACCCGCATCATGAATAATGAATACATCAACACAGCTCCCTCATACTCATGTTGATATTAAATTACTGCGCTAATATATATAGTAGCAAGTAGCGATCACCCGATCATGTTAAGTTTCTGGTAACTCGTAAACAGTGGGTGTTTTCAAACGAGAATTTAATAAGCAAATATAACAGCAAATCTATTCGTACTTTTGGAAGATGTTTTATATTTTAAAAAGTTATCACTCTCAGGGAGACGTTTACTAAAAAACTCAATCTTGAAAGTAAATAATTTTTCAGCAGCACAAAAGCAGGTTGTAAACGAGAGATATTCGCTGGTACCGAGCCGATATCGCATTCCAGCAGCGCTTTTTAAATAGAATTTAATGACATGGTGATTAGTGAGGTAAGCTTTATTTAAGTTGAGTGTGAACAATTTGCTGATTGGTCCGGGTTTAAGTATACAAAACATATTATTCTAGCATGCATAATTATTTTGAATATTTCCAAACCTGTAGCGTGTGTAGGAGAGCTTGGATTTTGTTGGAGACTTGCCCGCTATGACTGTTCGGCGCTGAAATGTCGTTTCTTAATTTCTACAATGATGGGAAAATATACTCGCGAGGACACGCTGTGAAGATGACAACGTTGGATGGTTACTATGTCGCCGCGCGCTACATATATGTTTCTCTAAACGATCTGTTTGATGCCTTTGTTGTGGATGCCGTAATCTCAAACACAAAAGAAACCTATGCCATGAGTTCACGAACCTAGATTGTTGCCATATCTAACTGAACTGAGATGAGTTCTCATATTTTCCAAGGTGTCAGGCGTCGTGAGAGGTAGTGGGGTCTGTTCCCCGTCATCACTGAAACAAATAACACCTCTAGGTTTTGGAACAGTGTGAAAAACCTTTCTACCTAAAGTCGAGGGGAAGAAACGGAGCTGTTGACCGTTTTCCCGCTCTGAAGTCTAGACAAATTCACTTGGTGACAAATTGTCATCAGAGTGTACTAAATATTCCAATCAACTAGTGTAATGCTGTAAAGTTGCTTGAATCGTACATGCTAAGTTGTTAAGGATACCTGACAGATTACATTTGATTGATTAACATCATGCTACACTCAGACATACACATGTATTAATCATACATACATTCTTGCAGGCATCTGTAACACATTCGACCCGTGAAGTTTGTTCACTTATAATTTCTGGTTTCTTACATGGATGTTGGATTTGTATCTTATACATTTCCAGCGATAACATCGACAAACCCGTTGATTCAAGAATCAAGTCTCAAGATAACACTGATCTACATGAATACATCATTAACAGCTTATATAAACACTGACAAAACCCATATAATTTCCATGCAACATTTAATGGGGCATAAGAATTACACGGTTTAATGAAACAATAAATGTAAAAGCCATGTTCTGGAGGTTTCCATGGGAACCAACCTATCAGGAGGGGCGTCAGTGGGTGGAGGGGGTATTAGTAACATCGGCCTGAAACACGTGACACACGTTTAAATCACGTGACACACGATTTAAATACACAAACTGTTTCATATATTAGGGGTTTTGTTAAAGTTGTTGTTTGCCCGTTAAACATTACACTTTGCAGATCGTGATAAACGTGACGGCGATGTTTACATTGAAAACGTTTGTTAAGGTCTAACACATATTTTGGTCTATTTAAAACTGCGCACAAAAAGAGAAGAAACATAAATTTGGAGAAATAATTATTATTGTATTATATACACTATACATTGTACATGACAAGATTCATATCATTGTTTTGCATGATGTGTGTACCTGGTGTACCAGGTTACTCAGAAGGGGAACTACAGTAAGAATTAGCAATTAGCAGTAAAACACCAACATCTGGACAGGTTAATCCGAGATAAAAACAGAGCAAAGTGGGCAACATTTTGAATTTTTATGTCTAACGATGGTATTAATATGTATTGGAGTTCGGACCAACTCACTCCCACAATAATCTAAATATCGAGTTTAACTGGTTCAAAGTTCAAAGTTTCACTGCATTTCACAATTATAGTCAAGTTTTTCATAGTTTTGGCTCACTGCCATCATCTTCACAAACGAATAATTATTTACCAGACCCCGTTAAACTGACTAATCGTACACTACATGATTAACACAAAGGTGGCAAGTCATTTGTAATTCTCAGTGTAAACGCTAACAAGTCACATGGATTAATCAAGAATGTCCTCATTGAATCATAAGATTACAATGATATGTTAAACTTGTAATCTAATATTCTCTCAAGTCGCAATTACGATAACACACATTACTGTTATTAGAAGTAAAAAGAGTGGCAGTCAAATACTAAAGTCAATGTGTAAGATGTAACGGGAGGTTTATCAGAACATCGTCAAGTTTTCAAGATCAACTGTAACCGAGCTAATAGTCACCTGTGTTTACCGCTTAATTTCCACTTAACTGCACAAAATGCTGACAACAATACGCATTAAAATACAAAACGATTTAATATATTGTATTATTACAAAAGAAAGCACGTTGGAAGTTTTGAAGCGTTTGATTAAGATCTATTTTTATCTAACTGCGTGTTATCATGTATTACATGTGCATTGTGCATATTAAAGTTTACATGCCTGCATAATATTATTAACAGCTCCTTACTTTGCAAAGTTACAGGGGCTGTTTTCTGGGCAAATGCAATTAATTTACTTAACAGCAGGGTTAAGTAAATTGCGTAAAGTAGTTGTTAAAATACTCCGTAATTAAGTTATTTAACAACTTAACAGCAGGGTTAGTGTTTATTAAACTACTTAAATGTTAATGCCGCGAATATATCAAGAGACGTGGAAATAGCTGGTAATGTGTCTTCCTTCAAATCAAAATATGCCAATTATATGAAAACTGACGACGGCTTACAAAAAAGTTCAAATCTTATATAGTTATATCACTGAGACGTGAGAATCTTTGGTCAAATAGTATCAGTGTTTAGGGTGATCACTTTAAATCATTTTGGACCTAATCAAAGAAAACCATCACGTGTATTAGGATTTTAAGAATTTCGAGTGATAACAAATAAAAATGCTAATATAAACCTCACCTTGGCCTTGGCAGTTCAATCCCATCGGTATCGTAGCTCGGATTGCTTTTCTTCTGAATCTTCTTGGGAGCGGCTGAACTTCTTTTTTCTACGTGCAAGTTAGGCGTTTCCTCCTGCGCGGCCAGAATCTGCTGCACCGCCGCTATACGGCTAACTAGGAGGGAAAACAACGTCATGTTACACACTCAACAACAACAGAACAACATTACACAGGTTTTATGTGTGTGAGGGGGTGTGTGTGAGGGGTGTGTAGAATGTAGTTTCTAGCTTGACCGTGAGAGATTAACCCCGGGTATTTACTCAACCGGTTGAGTAGAGAGTATAAGAAGTAGTGTTATTAGTTTATAGTAGTAGTACCCCTGCACGTGCAAGGTTGAGAAGTACAGGGCAACTTCACTGTCTCTTTTGTGTTGAAGATAACGATACGTTGGTGAACTTGTGACTGTTAAAATTGTAATTTAAATTTTATTAGATCCGCACGTGTCGTTCTTGCGAAGCATCTTTCTTGCTAAAAATAATAACCCGTTTAAATACCATTTAATTTCAAATATCTCCGGGAACTGTAGCAATTGAAGTTCGTTTCCTGTCCCTGACTGTTTTAATATTTGACAGAATTTAATCAGCATCTTTCAGATACCTGTTTGAGGAAGGACTCTACTTAGTGGGTACCAGCACTGCGAGCATGCTCAATAATACTGCCACCAAAATAACGTCAATGTCAGCACGAAACGGTTCAAATTTGATTGAATTTAAATGCGACTGAGATTAAACACACCGGTTCTCTAATATAGAAGATCTTAAATTTAATATTTAACTGTAGTATTTAGAAGACTTCTACATAAATCACATGTTTAAATTCAATATTTAATTCTGCATCAGCTGGGTTTAATCTATAACCGGATTCTTTATTCCTTCGTCAAACTTTTAGGTGTTTTAAGATGGCCAATATTTTATATCTATATATTTTTTATCCATGTAGGGGGAGGAATCAAGGAGCCGTAGGAGATGTTTTTTAAAATCTTACTGAAACTTTGCTTACCACTCACAAAGTACTAAGGACATGTCCTCCTGAGTACCCGGATAATAAACTAGGAAATAACACGAAGATCAGTTCAAGTTCATTCAGTGAACCAGATTTATCACGTACGTGTTACACATTATGGTGTCAGAATACTCATGTTTTATTACTGTGTGTTGAGACATTATGGTGTGCGAAGTTGGGATATTACCGAGATTACTGTGCATAACTTGCAGACACCGAGAATCCAGCCAGCAGGACTATTCAACTTAATACTTAAATGTAACGTGTTGGATCATGGAACCTGCTTGAATTATTGCTGCCACTAACTTGATTTCATAATGAATAGCACATAATATGCGCATTTTATGCAGATTGTTTGTTTTTTTTGTTACAAAGGTGTGTAAATATATATTATATATATATATATATATGTGATGTGTGTAATAGAGCGTAAATCGCACACACACAAACTAAACAGCCTACAAAGCACACACACACACACACACACACACACACACACACACACACACACACACACACACACACACACACACACACACACACACACACACACACACACACACACACACACACACACACACACACACACACACACACACACACACACACACACACACACACACACACACACACACACACACACACACACACACACACACACACACACACACACACACACACACACACACACACACACACACACACACACACACACACACACACACACACACACACACACACACACACACACACACACACACACACACACACACACACACACACACACACACACACACACACACACACACACACACACACACAAACACACGCTCTTATCTGTCAACAACAGACAGATGAATCATACAACATCACATATAATGTCACCTATTTAGTAGCTCTTACACGGGCCGCGTTACAGTCATGTCACCAACATAGTGTAACAAGAACAAGGTTGGTGTTACTTGTTAACTTTTCTAAAGTTTCCAATTAGATGAGAACTAGTAACTTTGAAGGTCACCACTTGTCAACGTCTCCTCACTTCAGAGACAAGGGATAGCTCATCAGTCAGAATAGGTTCATCTTGTAAGCTACATTACATAATATTATAATAATATTTGATATTATGCAGGGTGGTGTTGTTATCCAGTATGCACACACCTTTATTTTAACAGACTTGAACATTGTAACTCTCTGCTGCGTGTTATTCTGATATTGTCGACGGTAACAAATAAACGGTTACTGATCATGATTCGTTGGTGATGACGAGATAAATACACGACTTTACAAGTTATAGCATATTGCATAAGCAGACATTTTACATTTTACAGGCTATAGCAGACTAACCATGGGCATGTTAGCGAAATGTTATTGCCGTTAACGGTATAATTCAGTTACTGCACCTAGTAAATTTAATACTAACTCATTAAATATTAGAAAGAAAGTCAGCGACAAATTATTATAAGCCACCTCACTTAAAGTTTAAAATTCTTATTCATTACGCAGAATCGTGATGTTTTGTTAAGAATCATCTCCACCATTACATCACCGGTTATTACAGAGGCGACGTGACTCTTCAACTTCTATATTATCAGAGATGCCTCACACACATTACTACCGTATTACCGGAAAGTAATAACATTTGTAACAAAAAGCGCTGTATCAGGTTCAACTGTAGGATCTGTATTATATATAATTATATATGCCTAATAAGGTATTATTAAGATGGTAACACCACCATATAAGGTAATGTTGTCATGGTAACGGCTGGTTTCCTAATTTGCTGGTGATAACCGGGTTAGAATAATATTCAATAACCATAGTTTGGTGTTGGATGCGCTAAATGCACTGAAAATTCCCATTTATTGTCGGGTATAACCTGTATCTAATTGGCTGGTGATGACCGGGTTAAATTTTAATAAACAATAGTGTTGTGAACCAGGAAGGCCCTTTTGTGTGTGGCATTGTACTTCTGTGTTGGGCTAGATTGGACTGAAGTAGTAGGGAGGTGTGGTGAAGTGTTGTGTAGTAGTGAAGTATAGAGGTGTAGTAGTGTAGTGTAGACTGTAGAGGTGTAGTTTAGACTGTAACTAGAGGTGTATTAGTGTAGTGTAGAGGTGTATCAGTGTAGTGTAGAGTTGTGGTAGCTGTAGTGTAGACTGTAGAGTTGTGGTAGTGTAGTGTAGACTGTAGTGGTGTAGTAGTGTAGTGTAGACTGTAGAGGTGTAGTAGTGTAGTGTAGACTGTAGAGGTGTAGTTTAGACTGTAACTAGAGGTGTATTAGTGTAGTGTACAGGTGTATTAGTGTAGTGTAGAGTTGTGGTAGTGTAGTGTAGACTGTAGAGGTGTAGTAGTGTAGTGTAGACTGTAGAGGTGTAGTAGTGTAGTGTAGACTGTAGAGGTGTAGTAGTGTAGTGTAGACTGTAGAGGTGTAGTAGTGTAGTGTAGACTGTAGAGGTGTAGTAGTGTAGTGTAGACTGTAGAGGTGTAGTAGTGTAGTGTAGACTGTAGAGGTGTAGTAGTGTAGTGTAGAGTTGTGGTATTGTAATTAATGTAGTTTTATCTACAATAACAATACAAGTGTTGCATAGAGGCGTGGTATATAACACAATATACTGGATAACAATCATGTGAAATTATGGTAATTATTCTTCTCCCCCCCCGGCCCCCCCCCCCCCCAGGCCACAATGTCTACTACGATTATTATGCAGATAATTTATTCCAAACTTGAGATAAACCTGCGTCCCGCAGCCCTAAGCAATCTTGCTTTGTACATTACACAGGTATGTGTATAGTATGTGTATATCCTTAAGGGGGGGGGTTCACCCTGATTTTTTTGTGAAACTTGGTTTCGAGATAGCAGTTGACCAACAAACTAGGACCAGTGACCAAACTTTTGAGGGGGTCCCGGACCCCAACCGCCAAACGGTGCCCGCGGGGCTGCCACGCCCATATTTGGTCCAAATCAGGCCCAATTTAGCCAAATACCCTGAACATGCCCAAAACCCAGATTTTAGGTGCTTTACTTGTAGCTAGTGGTCCCCTGAACTCGTATATGAAGTTTCATCAAGATTGGACAAAAAATGACTGAGTTATGAGCTAAAAACTATATGCCCATATTTGGGCATACGCACTAAATTTGATCGATTTTGGCCCATAAATTGGTCAAATATCAATATTTTTGAATGAAACTAACTTTATATGAAAGGTAAGCCTAAACTACACATTCTCTATGATTATCAGCTCAATATCTACCTAACTGTGGATTCTGTGTCCAAATAATCGCAAAAAATGAACAAAATCGCCCATATCTCAGTTCGCGATATTTGCAAAACTGACTTCGCTCAAAACAATAGAACTCAATAGGGTTTCAATATTTTTTCATGAAATTTTCAGAATCAACGTAGAATTGTCTCATGACCTTAAGTTTTGGGACAGAATTTTGAGTTAGGCCTTTAAAAAAATTTGGCGGCCAAATTCTGAAAAATGCCCGGCAAATTTTAGAATTTGGCCGCCAAATTTTTTTAAAGGCCTAACTTAAAATTCTGTCCCAAAACTTAAGGTCATGAGACAATTCTACGTTGATTCTGAAAATTTCATGAAAAAATATTGAAACCCTATTGAGTTCTATTGTTTTGAGCGAAGTCAGTTTTGCAAATATCGCGAACTGAGATATGGGCGATTTTGTTCATTTTTTGCGATTATTTGGACACAGAATCCACAGTTAGGTAGATATTGAGCTGATAATCATAGAGAATGTGTAGTTTAGGCTTACCTTTCATATAAAGTTAGTTTCATTCAAAAATATTGATATTTGACCAATTTATGGGCCAAAATCGATCAAATTTAGTGCGTATGCCCAAATATGGGCATATAGTTTTTAGCTCATAACTCAGTCATTTTTTGTCCAATCTTGATGAAACTTCATATACGAGTTCAGGGGACCACTAGCTACAAGTAAAGCACCTAAAATCTGGGTTTTGGGCATGTTCAGGGTATTTGGCTAAATTGGGCCTGATTTGGACCAAATATGGGCGTGGCAGCCCCGCGGGCACCGTTTGGCGGTTGGGGTCCGGGACCCCCTCAAAAGTTTGGTCACTGGTCTTAGTTTGTTGGTCAACTGCTATCTCGAAACCAAGTTTCACAAAAAAATCAGGGTGAACCCCCCCCCCCCCCCCCCCCCCCCTTAACGAATGTTACTCAGCTCAGAATACATACTGACATGATTGTCATTAAAAATAACAAATAACAAATTTCTTTCAAAACTAGCTGCTCTGATTTAATGTCACTGCCAGTGACACCTTTATATTGTAATCATATAACATATGCTATAATATAAACAAGTTTATAATATAAACCAAGTTCTTATTGCCTTAGTTAGGAGTTGATAAATATTGCTCTGTCATTAATTCTGCGATATGATCCAATAGTGTAACCGTTTACGTTACATAAAACGGAGCATAAGAAAATTAGAAAGGGGAAAAAGTTGCCGTAACAATTCTCAAAGCGATTAACTCTAATTTGGGGTGTAAACTCTGTAACGGTCCTGTTGACCACTGAGAATCGTTCTTAAGGGTCCTTATATCAATATCTCAGATTTCTGGCCGTGCTTACGTTACAAATATTAGGACGGTACAGAGTGAACTTTGGTGGTGAGGTTTGGTGGTGTTGTTAGGAGTTAGGCCAGGGAGTATGATGTAAGGTTAATAAATAAAAAACGGTAGATATCATGGGCATTAAAGTAAAATTCGCCAACTACAAATGTGAAACTAAATGAGCTTGACGCTTGAAAGCTTCCCCTGGAAACTGCCAGAGCTACAACATCATTTATCTATTCCAATGTAGTGTCTGTGGAAAGGCTTACGTCGGTCGCACAACTCGATCTCTACGGGTTAGAACTGGAGAACATAGGGTCAAATATTATAAACTTTTAAATGGTGATAAGGTAGATGAAACAAGTGATGAATATAGTTTGGGTTTACATTTGTTGGATCATGGTTTTAGACAAAGGGAAGATTTTAACAAAATTTTTAATGTGTCAATTATTGATAATTCTAGTCCTAAAACTTTGGATGTCCGTGAACATAAATATATTCAACTACTCAAGACTTTAAAACCTTTGGGAATTAACACTATAAATCCTTTTGGCCTTCCTTTACTCCTAACATCTTAATTTTAACTTTATAACCGTTTTAAGAGTGTTCAGATTTTTAAAGGAATTTTGGGTTTTACTAACTTTTTACAATTTCTAGGGCTTATGTCACTGAAGATGACGCCTTGCAACATGTTTGACGATAGCCTGTAGATTGATAGTTTGATCTCAGTATTTACAACAATTCATCTAGTTTGATTGATTCAAAGGGAAACAAATTCCTCTGGAGCTTGACGCTTGTTCTAAATAGCTTGTTAGTTATATATTGGAGATCTGCAGTAGTGCCTGAACCACACTGGCTGAACCACACTAGCTGAACCACACTGGCTGAACCACACTGGCTGAACCACACTGGCTGAACCACACTGGCTGAACCACACTGGCTCAACCACACTGGCTGAACCACACTGGCTGAACCACACTGACTGAACCACACTGGCTGAACCACACTGGCTGAACCACACTGGCTGAACCACACTGACTCAACCACACTGGCTCAACCACACTGGCTGAACCACACTGGCTGAACCACACTAGCTGAACCACACTGGCTGAACCACACTGGCTGAACCACACTGGCTGAACCACACTGGATTCCTAGAATGAAGTCCACTCTGTTAACATATGATCAAATGTGGTCGGGACTAACAGTAGGTTCAGCAGTATTTCAGGAATGTATAGTATACTAGTACAGTACACTACAATGTACAATGTAGATGTACTGAAGGGGTATCCTAAGAAGATTCTTGATCTTTTGGCAGGGCCCCTAGATAAACTGTACTTTTATTAGGAGGAGAATACACGGACAGCAACATAATGACATTCACTGTAAGAAATACTCGTGCGTCATTTCTGACGGGGTAATTAAAACGAACTCCCTTTTTATTAACTAAAGGACAAATTATCACTAACTGATTTGAGGATTACGAGAACCACGTGCACAGTACGTGTTATTAACTATCAGAGCTAGAATTTACTTTGTGACGGTGAGTACGTGACATGATCTTCAGAGACAGATAATCTCAATATCATCCCTCATTAGCCTCCAATTAGAGGCCTCTAAATGGTATAATGGCTCATAATGGCGCATAATACTCTCAACCCCATGAGGCCCTTCTGTAGGACTCAATTGCAACTAATGTTTGTTTGAGAGATTAATGATGATCACCTGAGAGTGACGAGTGTGGTAGGTGGGAATTATATTTAACTACAGAACATGTGGGATGTTAGGGGTGGGAGGCAATGCACAAATCTAGGATAAATTGTTGCACTTTTAATTAACAAGGTTAGTGGGTATCACCTCCCAACAACAAGCAACATCAGAAGGGGATTCTTACAATCATTAATTAAGACTAATTAGTTTAATTATTATACTAATTATTACCTAGCATGACAGAGGAGCAGCCAAACTCTCGACACGAACTGAAGGTCGGAGGAAATAATATCACAACAAATATCCCCAGCTGACTAACAAAATCTAACTAACTCTTCCATAGGTTGCGAGTTCTGCGTGCCTGCGTACCGGTCTACAACTATAAAATATATAGAACTATTTATAAATATTGATCTCACAATTAACTCCAAATTCGGGCAAAACTTGCTTTGACTCTGCATCTTAAGACCCACCACCACGCTACTTAATCTATAAATACATCATGATATTATATTCTATTGAACTCTTAACCTGCTTATAATATTAAAATTAAATTGCAGGACACATATAGCTTGTTAACCATGTACCCTAAGAAAACCATTCAAGGCGATGTTATTTCTGTAACATTCCCTGTGTAAGTGCATATATGGCCAATATTCCAGATTTTTAATAGCATCAAGTGAGTTTATTATGTAAAGTAAGAAATTTTAGTTTCAATCGCATAATCTTTCTTCAGATTATAAAACATGCTCTCTGTAACAGCCCATAAATTGCAGAAGTCTGATTTTACTACCGTACATACCCACTCTATATATTATACAAGCTTAAAAAGAAACACAAAACACAAAAGGGGTAATATAATAAACTATAAAAAGAGATTAATTGACCAATTTATTAACTGATAATCAGTGATATGGGTAACCAAAACAGTAACCAGTCACTAAAACAGTAACCAAGCCAGTAACCAGTCACTAAAACGGAATGAGAAGTATACCATTAACAGAGAAGAAGGTCACCATTTAAGCAACTTTACCTCGACAACTACTATATCGACTACTTACTGAATCTATTACTGATTGTCAATTTGCCGTTACTTTAATATTATATCTGTAATAACGGTAATGTAGTTACGTCATCATAACATCTTAATGTTTTAACCGACAAATTGATATTAAGTATCCTGATTTAAATGCCCCACAAATGATCTGAGTGACCAATCACGGTGGTAGTGCATATACTGACGCAGGTATTGTGGATATGGTCAATGACTTGCGTGTGTGGCATTTAATGCTATTTTCGGCTAAAATGGTTTTAAAGCTTTTAAAGATTTTAGCGTCACGAAAATGTCCCGAAGCAGCAGAATAACTTTATATACGAACCTTGAGCTTTGTACTCTGGTGGAGAGCTGCGGTATATTTTTTTGACACATGACAGTGATTCTGGGGTTTGATTGGTCAATAGTGGACGCTGATTGGTAAATCACTGTCACGTGTCACAAAATACGCCTGACCTCCCCACCAGAATCCAAATATAGAGAGTAAAATATCACAGAGCTCTGGAAAGAGGGATTGATCCGGAATATTATAATATAATATTATACAAATATGATATATAACAAAACAAAACATCATGTGAGGGAAACTTTAGCCTACAGAAACACAGCTGGCGTCCACTACTACGACTACCTGTGCTAGATAGAACTACCATTGTACAGTTACAAGTTACAGGGAATGTACTGACCGGGGAATGTACTGACCGGGGAATGTACTGACAGGGAATGTACTGACCGGGGAATGTACTGACCGGGGAATGTACTGACCGGGGAATGTACTGACCGGGAATGTACTGACTGGGAATGTACTGACCGGGGAATGTACTGACCGTTATTGAAAGAGTGCTCATCGCAGGACGTCGTGCGCTCCTTTAGGAATGTCGTCTGTCTCTTGGAATCTAATGAATCTGAAACATAAACATAGTTAGTGTTTACTTACCTAACAAAGTTAACAGAGGTATTCGCTGTATTTACGCGGCTAATTTCACAGTACCAAGACACTACCAAATGTCGTCTGTCTCTTGAAATGTAATGAATGAGCATCGTTAACACACTGAACTAATAACACAGGGAACGCTGACACAATTATTTGTCGACTCTAATCGGTCATATTTCACATCACCGAGAAACTGCCAGTTAGGATTAACTTTATTTGTTGAAGAGGTTACAGCTGGTGGAGTCACTAGGTTAGAGGAGACTCATTACTCTCTATAATATACTGAACACAATAGAGAACAGTGTTTTGAAGTGTGCCATGTGTGTGTGATGAGGAGTTCTTAGTAATCAGTGCTCCTTACACTTAATGAGGAGCAGACTGGTCTCCCTCAATCCCCCGCCACCCCGCCAACCCCCCCCCCCCCCCCCCACCCCGTCCCCGTCCCCGTCCCCCGTCCCCCCGTTATAATATGACGCATATTCAATAATGATTTACTACTGAGGGATTCAGTCACTGCAATTAGTGGAAGAGGGGCTATACATACTACTTAATATACCCATAGACCCTTCGGGGGGGGGGGGGGGCACGGGGATTATGTAGTATGTAGAGATTATATAATATATACAATAAGCGGGGTATTGTGGTACTGAGCACTTGATCTATCCTAAAAATAAGGCACCTTCAGTTATGAGTAGTAATGATAAATCTCTCTCTCTCTAAAATCATACAGTTGTCTTATATAAAGTTCACTTTTTCTGCAAACGATCGGCGAAGAGTCGGCAGAAGACGAACTGCGAGGAACGAAGAAAACATCACCTTGGTTGTTTGTGACGTGATGGATACACCTAAAATTGGCAACCGAAAACGAGCTCCTGCATTAGACCTCAGCAGAACATCCCTTCAACGAATCCTAAAGCGAGATCTTTCTAACCGGGCATATCGGATCACAAAGAAACACCAACTTTTAGACCGTGATTCCTGATTTTCCTGAAAAAGTCACGATCTGGTGCGCCATCAGTTCTCGTGGAATCCTAGGACCTTACTGTTACATTCAGAATTTGGTGTTTCCCTGTCTAGCAAAGTCATTATCGGTATCCAATCAATCATGATCAGGTCGTCATCTCCTCAGTATGTTTGGTAAAGCCTAATGAACCTCATTAATACACGCTAACACCTTACTCTTGATCAGATTGGGTGACGAGATCACTAGCAACAGAGAAGCCTCAACTAATATATGTACATCTCGGCATCAATGATATACACAAAGGAGAGGACATCCCCAAAATCGTCGACAACTTCAAGATCTTTAATGAAATGTTAGAACTAGTATCTCCCACCACCAGACTGGTCATCTCTTGCCCCTACTAAACGGAAAAACCTATCAGAACCGACACGTCTTTTCCTTGAGGAGATCCCTGTCCTTATTGGTCAATCAGCAGCAAGACGAGGACCCTAAAACAAAAAGGATTTTCCTTCAGAGAAATGATAAGTTCTTCATTAACACGCAGTCCACTCCCAAGCAGAACTCGATGTACTTCCGCGATAATCTCCATCTATCAGACAGAGGAATGCATGCAATCACCAACACCATGAGAGACACCCTCGACAAGATCTTCAGAGAGTTTGAGCTTCCATTCTAAATTTTAGTCTTCAACCACCAACCCAACCTCTTGAAAAATACTATGAATTTACAATCCAAAATTATAAGCTGGAACATCCAATCAACAAATACAAATTTTGGCTCTAAGTTTGATGACCCTCAATTTTGTGCCGTCTTTGACAAGTTTCCTTTTGTCTGCCTTCAAGAAATAAGACAACCGGTCAAACACTCGGGCTTCAGGTCCTTCAATAAAACCCGCCGGGACAAAAAACATGGTGGCGTATGCATCATGGTCCAAAACGAAATAGTCAAAGGCGTAAAACTTGAAAAATCCACAATTGAAGATGTTGTTGCCTGTAAACTTGAAAAAAATTACTTTGGCGTAGATAATGATATATTCATTGTTAACTCATACATTAAGCCAGCTAACACTTCCTCTAAAAACTCAGATATCTCGGGCTTTGACACCATCCGTGAACTGGACCAATTTCTTAATGTTCTTCTAAGTAAAGGCGATGTAATTACCTGTGGTGACTTCAACTCGCGTATCGGCCATGACATTGACTTCATCAAAGGAGAGAAATGTGGCTACGAGAGCTTCATTCCCCTGCCAGAAGACTACACCCCCCAAGAACTCCCAACCAGGAACTCAAAGGACAAAAAGTCGAACAATTACAAAAGACCCTTTCTAGAAATGCTTGTCAATAATGAACTCCATATTCTCAATGGGAGAACTTTAGGAGACTCATATGGTGACTTCACTTGTATCCAGACCAGCGGTGCCAGCGTTGTTGACTACTTTATTATATCACCAAACTGCAGTAAGTATGTATGTCATATGACAATCCAGCCGTTCACTTGCTTTTCTGATCATAAACCACTACTCCTGGCACTCAACTTCTCTCCTTCCAACATTCTTGTAAACACAAAGGCACTCCATGAAACTTACGCTCGAGCCCCACTTCGTTACAAAATAACTCCTGATAGCCTTTCAAGCTTACGGGATACAATGATGGACCCACTTGTGGAAGAATGTTCCAAAACCCTCTTAGAAACAGATTATCCCGAAGATCTCCTAGGTACATACAAATTGAACGAAGATATCACAGTTCACTTGAACAAAATAGCAGACAAATGTCTCCAAAAGACCAAACATCCCAAAATAACCAAAAAGGGATCCATAAATAAACAACCCTGGTTCACACAAGCCACTAGAGAAGCTAAAATATCCTGTACTCGTGCAGCTCAAATTGTTTCTGATTTCCCCAATAGCGATTATCTTCGAAAAAATTTTTACCAAGTAAAAAATACGTACAAAAGTTTAATTGACCGTACCAAAAACAAATATCTTGACAAACTGAATACAGATATCGAATCTGGTAAAATTCTAAACTGGAAACAATTCAAAAAACTGAAAAAATTTAAAGGAAGAGTTGACAAATTTGATTGCCATGACATGGACAACTTTCAAAAATTCTTTGGTAAACTTTATGCCAATGCACATAGCACCATAACTGTAGAGAATAAGGAAGAAATGCTTCAAAATGCAGAGGCTATTAACAATAATTGCCAACCATCCCCTGCACAATCAATACTCAATGGCCAGATCTCTGTGGACGAAATATCTACTGCGCTCTCTTCACTCAAAAACGGCAAAAGTTCCTCGGAGGATATGATATGCAATGAAATACTGAAGACCTTGTCCACAACAAATACGCAACTCCTTTGCAAAGTATTTAACCGCTGTTTGGACACTGGAACTTACCCGTTGAACAACAGCATTATAACACCCCTACACAAAAAAGGCGACAAAGATAATCCCGACAATTACAGAGCAATTGCTGTGAGTAGTACAATCGGGAAACTATTCTCGACCATTATGCTAAACAGGATAATCAAGTTCAAAAATGAATACAACCCGGACCCCATAAATCAACTTGGCTTCGCTAAAGGAGCTCAAACATATGACCACATACTCACACTCAACACCATTACGTCTAAATACAAAAAGCTCAAGGTTCCCGTCTATGCTGTTTTCGTGGACTTCCGGAAAGCTTTCGACTCTGTTTGTCGTGAAGCTCTTTTCTTAAAGTTAGCTAAACTAGGTATCACTGGCAAAACATTTAATGTTCTTAAACATATGTATAAAAATTCCACTGGCCAGATAAAGCTATCTGGATTTGTCAGCGAAAAATTTGATATCAATAAAGGAACTGAACAGGTCATCCACTTTCCCCTGATCTTTTTAAAATATACATTAGAGATCTTTCCCCTCGACTAGAATTTGATAACTGTCCAAAACTAATGAACCAACTTATCAGTCACTTACTATGGGCAGATGATCTGATACTCTTGGCACTGGACCCCAAAACCCTCCAAAAGCAACTCGATGCTTTGAACAATTTCTGCTTGGAATGGGGCGTCGAAATTAATGCAGATAAAACTAAACTCACGAAATTTAATTCCCGCTTCGATAATTATCAGCCGGTTCCCCTCAAAATAGGTAATCACTTGTTAGAAGAAGTCGAGTCATACTGTTATCTAGGAATCGAAATACACAAATCTGGCACATTCACAAATGCCCGAACTGAGCTCAAAAAGAAAGCCATGCGTGCACTTTATGGCATGAAAAGCTCAGTAAACAAATCCAAATTATCATTCCGTTCTCTAACAACACTCTTTGACGCTCTTATTAAACCTATCGTTCTTTACGGAGCGCCTATTTACACACCTAATATGGCTATCATAAAACACATAACAAAACAAGTCGATCTCAATATGGATCCCGACACAAAAACAAAATTTCAAACTAGTATCCTCAAGAAAATTAGTCTTCTGAACAGCGAAAAAGTTCACCTTCACTTTCTTAAATGGTCACTGGGTGTAAATCGTAAAACCAGCAACGCAGGCGTCTGGGGTGAGTCAGGCCGCTACCCATTAATCTATGAATGTATTAACCTCACTCTCAAATATACCCAACGCTTGAAAAATCTCAAAGATAACTCCCTTGTATCCTTAGCTTTCAAAGAACAGATGAACATGAAATTGGACTGGTACAGGGGTTTGGAGCCTGTCCTCGCGCTAGACCCATGTTTCTCTACCGATCATGTCACAGCCTACCGCACACTCAAAAACAATCACTCCAAGTCAATTTTCGAAAGAAACCCGAGTATCGCAAAACCACCAAAAGAGGACTTTCTTATTCACAACGGTTTCAAGAAACGAATTCCTCCGCAATCAACACAACCCATCGGGAGTAAAATATTCACACCACACGTCATTACTAAAACTTTGAAAAGTAGCTTTAGAGAATATTGGGGGTCCTATATCAACACTTCTCGGAAATTAGAATTCTATCGTGACCTAAAATC